GTGTGTGTGTGTGTGTGTGTGTGTGTGTGTGTGTGTGTGTGTGTGTGCTTTCAGGCTCACGCAGCTTGTTATCCTGTTACACGCCACAAACAGAAGCAGCCTCAGTGACTCAGTGTTGCTTTACTTTTATTCCTTTCCACCTAAAGGTAATTTAAAAAAGCCCGATTTATATTCTTATTTCTGTCATGAAATCTAGCAGATCAGCCAAACAAGGGACAGGTTAACTAGCTCAGTTCAATGTTATGTTGAATTTAACAAGTCAGCTGTCACTTTGAAGAGTTACAACTTCAAACTGAAGTTCTGAACATGATATGTAGAGGAGGCTCTGACAAACCATGGAGATGAAACTGAGAAGACATTTAGACTCTAGTTGGCTTATGATACATTGGATAAATTTGAGGGTAATCTGTGTTATACATTTTTTAAAAGATAAAGTATTTAGGGTCATATATCTCTTCTTGACGTATTATGGTTGGAAGGTTAGATATCTTTGTTTACCGTCTGGTTACCTCATTGTTTCCTTTTTGTTTTTTTTGCTTCATTCTGCAGCAACGGCCTTGTTTCTTCACAATGATCATTAGAGTTTCATCTAATCTTAACACTTCTCTTTGAGCCAACGCGATGAGCTCAGTTAAATATTCACACTGTTCAGGCTTTGCGCGGTTCCCTCTCAGGAGCACTTAGGTAACCTCTGTTTTGATAACGCCTCTGAAAACAGTGGTGATTTTAAAATCAGATGAACGGCACCTCTTCTTAAAACCCCTTGATGCTGGAATAAAGCCTGAATCAGAGGCTGTGGCTGTAATCTTGGCGGTATATGACACTGATAAAGGTCTTTTTCTGTGTATGTGCAGTTATCTCTCTCATCAGGAGCCATTAGCATTGTTCTGGATGGGTCAGAAATGTCCAAGAGGGCATTGACTGCCTGCTAGTGTCCTCATTCTGTTTTCTGTTGGCTCAGTCGCTGCTTTTTGGGTCTCTGTGTCTAGTAATGATGCAGTGTAAAGTATTTTAACACCTCGGCCACTGAAAAGATGGAGATGGAGACGGTGGGGGCGTAGAAAAGGACCCAAGTCTGTCAGCAATTTGTATTCTTGAATCCTGTGATCAGAGCTATGTTGCTATGAAACAAGGGCTGCACTGTGATTAAACTGTCTTCTATTGTTTCCTAATTGTTGGGGTGATTTGCATGTGCTGTGTTTTAAGTTGACTTACGTATATCTTGGTAGTGTGATTGGGTTTGTGTACATGCCCAGAAGTAAATTAAAGCTGCTTGTGTTTGCATCTAGCTGTTCATATATTGATTAGAAGTGTTTATATCTACAGTGATGCAGTAAACACACTCAAATTGAGGCCGTCTGGTCAGACTATTTATTTTGGTTTCTGCCATCGCTGCCTCGTGCATTGGTTCCAATTTTAGAAATGCAGCCGATGTTTTTCACCAGCTGACTTACTGCATAGCTACAACAGGTGAACGTCTACTGTAGCCAATATGGAGACTGTAATTTGACTACTTGGAGGTTAGTGGGTCGCACATCTTTATATGCAATTGTGGAACAAAATGATCGCTATGATTAAATTGTTTTGCATAGACAAACAGTGTGTGTATACATGCGTAAGAATCCCAAACATTTTGCACATTGTTACACAATAATACACAGTGATCACAAAACGAAATGACAAGCTTCACAATATTCATGTATAGTTTTGTCTCATCTGACCAAAGGACATTCTCCCAGAAGCTTTGTGGCTTGTCAATATGCATTTTGGCAAATTCCAGTCTCAAAACTGGAGCTTTTTGGCAAGTCACATCAGCTCTATATTCACAGACGCAAAAATGAAGCATTCAAAGAAAAGAACACTGTACCTACTGTGAAACATGGAGGAGGCTCGGTTATGTTCTGGGGCTGCTTTGCTGCATCTGGCACGGGGTGTCTTGAATCTGTGCAGGGTACAATTAAATATCAAGGCATTCTGGAGCGAAATGTGCTGCCCAGTGTCAGAAAGCTTGGTCTCAGTCGCAGGTCATGGGTCCTCCAACAGGATAATGACCCAAAACACAGCTAAAAACACCCAAGAATGGCTAAGAGCAAAACATTGGACTATTCTGAAGTGGCCTTCTATGGGCCCTGATCTAAATCCTTTTGAACATCTGTGGAAGGAGCTGAAACATGCAGTCTGGAGGAGGCACTCTTCAAACCTGACACAGCTGGAGCAGGTTGCTCACGAGGAGTGGGCCACAATACCTGTTGACGGGTGCAGAAGTCTCATTGAGAGTTACAGAAATCGCTTGATTGCAGTGATTGCCTCAAAAGGTTGTGCAACAAAATATTAAGTTAAGGGTACCATCATTTTTGTCCAGGCCATTTTCATTAGTTTGTTTTTAAAATGTTCTGTTGAACCACTATTCAAAAGCAATGTCTGATTTTCATTCGTTAATTTTCAGTAAATTACTATTCATTATTACTTTTGTCAGTTATTTCAGTGACCATTGTGGGTTTTTCTTTCTTTAACGGAAGGCTACAAACAATTTTGTCCACGTGTGTGTGTGTGTGTGTGTGTGTGTGTGTATATACCCCACCCACCCTATGGCGGCAACCCCCTCAACCACCCACCCTAGGTTGTCTCTAATGGACTGCTTGACCATTATAAATGAAGTGGGTGTCAGCTTTTGGCACCTACAAGAACACTTCTTCTTTCATTTGACTCGGAGTTACCATTAAAGTAGCAAAGTCTGTTTGTGTGGTATCAGTGAGTTATTATTTGTAAATTCAGACAAAACTTTAGACACATGTTCTAATAGCTTCCCAATGAATGAGGTTGGCACCTGTTACAGGTCTGACTCTGTGCTTGTTGCATGTGAAACCTGGAGGATGAATTCTGTAATGGAACATAAAATGAGTAAAAGAGATGGTCGGCTTCTTAGAGTGTGTCAGTGTTTGTGGATTGAAGATGGATTCTTTGATTCACAAGACATTGTGAGACACTTACCATTCAGCATCATGGCTGGAGTACTTCCAAAGACTGCTTTGGATACAAAATAGCTCTGTATTGTAGAGAGGTTCTCAGAAATGTACATGAATCGGACTGTATTTATAAAGTGGATCATTCTAAGATAAATATGGCAATTGTAGTCAAACTTGTCAGTGTGGGCATGGTGAAAGACTTTGGCAGGGTGTTACAGATTTACTCAGTATGAATGGAGCTACAATAAGGGATTGTCCTTTGCTAAATACATAGGACTATTCATCATGTGAATGCAGATGCTGGAGCTCCTTCTTTAATATCTCTTGAACGAGACACACAATTTTCACAACACGCATTGTTGACGGGGACTGTGCCCGTCAGATGGACCTGAGATCCATGCTGGAATTCTATACATCTGTATTGATTCCCAGAATGATCTCCACTAGGGCTTATTGGTAACTTATTTTGTCCTGACAGGTGATTATCAACAGCACCATCACGCCCAACATGACGTTCACCAAGACATCGCAGAAGTTTGGCCAGTGGGCGGACAGCAGGGCCAACACTGTGTTCGGACTGGGCTTCGCTTCGGAACAGCAACTGGCCAAGGTGAGAAGACGCTGCAGCATCGCATGAAATCACAAAAAGCATCCAGAAAGTTTGGAGACAATTGATTTCTGTATTTGTCCTAAAACTGGAGTACAATGGTGCACAATTTTGTTATTTAGACACCGGAAATCAGAAAAGTATTTAAGAGTGTATCTGGATCTTAAATCCTCACTATCACTAGATAATTGGCTCCACGATCTCCCAAAATGTTTTCAGATGAGCCACACTGCGTTTGACATTTCAGTTTGTATTATCATCACAGCTCTTTCACGTCTCTCTCAAATTTACAGTTTTCTGAGAAGTTCCAGGAGGTAAAAGATGCAGCCAAGCTAGCAAGGGACAAATCTCAAGACAAGGTGGACACATTGAGTAATCACTCCCAGGTAAATTATATCTCTCTGCTGTCTGAAAGTCTGATTGAGTACAACACCTCTGTTGTTGCACTGTCATCTCTACAGTCACTGTTGGCCTCTACAGAGAGAAAACTGGTGACACTGAGAAGAAAATAAGCATTTCTCTTTGGTTACTTTCCCCAAAAAAACACCATCAGCTGTTGTGTGTTTCTGATTCTGTGTTTAGAAAAAGCTTCTGGCAGTTCAAATATTTAAATGAACGTGGGCCTATGAAGTTTGTGTTGAATATAACATGTCAATACAACAGTAATCATTTAATTGTCATAAATAGAGGTCAAAGGTACTTACTGCCCGGAAAGCCCCACAGGAACTAAGAGGACAAGGAAGCCAGTGAGAGTCATAAAACAATACAAGTTTCTTATTTCAAAACATGATGTCCAATTGATATTCTGTCAGTAAGTAAACAGCATTGATTTTGGAGGTCGATCCAGCAGCCTGGCCTGTTCCCTGCCTGCACTGACACCAGATTGCAGGAATCATTCTCAGCTCCGAGACACACAAAGCTGCTGGGCCATATGACATGATAAATACTGGCATCAGTTTGCTCCACCCTTCTGCTACCTTAGCCGACATGTCCATGGTGTTTACAGTGTTCCACCAAAAGAAGCCTAGGACCTTTTTCCACAGTCGGAGCACGATTTATGAGACACATTTATGGATTTTAACACATCGGACCTTTCAGAAATCTGCAGGTAGATGGAATCAAAACCTGCTCTGAACCATAACACGTCCCCTCTGTCCTTTACCAGGAGTCTGGACGTGAGACGCCCTCAAGCAACCAGGCGTCCAGCATTAATGGGACAGATGATGAGAAAATCTTTCATGTCGAGCCGGAGGCTGCTGTGCTGCAGACGGAGAAAGAACATCTCAAGAGTGCAGTAGAACAGAGGTAAGGGTTCCTTTCATGGACACCTCAGAACAACCTCTTGAAGGAGACATTAATCTAAATGCATTTTCACCTTCCTGGTATAATCACATGCCACATAACCTCACATTACAGCAACACTCCCTTCAAGGGGCATCACATCACTTCTATTTGTCTCTGCACCAAACTGTGCTCAAATGTTCTCCCTCTCCATCTTTTCGCTACTGGGATGATCTCATGGCCCCTAAGGGCTCAGACATCATCTGATCTAATCTAAAGAGGGAAGCTGCTCTACTCTACCATTTGGTTATATGGCCTTCATAATCCAGATGCTGAGTGTATAAATCACTAATGGCATGAAACACCAGATGGGATTAGAATGACCCAAGGGCATCAGAGTCGACTGAAACTACAGTACGTACATTTAGACAGAATTAGTACTGGATAGCAACAAAAAAACAAAACACTGACATATTTGATCCAGATGGGATAAAAGGCTCTGAGGTGAAAAAAGAGACAAATTAGCAGGCCTTCCCTGACAATACTTCAGACTTTACTCACACTTATTTATATATATATATCTCTCTTTCCAGGAAACGTCTTAGGAAATTGTACGAACGGTAAAATAAAGCTTTATTGTGTGCGTTTAAAACATTGATTCTAAACAAAACATTGGTAAAAGACAAACATTGGTTTCAAACCAGTGCATCAAGCTTACATGTATCTTTAAACTTCTCCAGCTTTTGGTTGTAAAACACAGTTTGTCCACCATTGCTGTGTTTGCCACTTTTGTCGTGCCTTCACAAGGCCTTCAGATTTTGTTTTCTGGAAATGTGTCACAGCAGTAATACAGCCGAGGACTGCAGAATGCTGCGGTGCAAGTCTGTCCACATTTGATTTGAGAGCAGCACACTTCAAACCAGCCATGCATAAGGAAGGGAACAGCAATGCATACTAAATATACATCACAACCTCTTCGCCCTTATTGATCAATTAGAAACACACTCTGTGGTATAAAAAGATAACGAACTGTATGTTGGAGCATGTCTGCAGCTCATTAGACCTTTGAGACTTTTCTCACTTATTTCTTTTTTTATGGTTTAAATATCTCTTCACAGTGTGATGTACATCACATCTAATGAAATGGTCATGACTGGAATGATTTTGTAGCATTATGTGTCATGTCGGTGGGCACAAGCCGCAGGCATTTCAGCTCTAACCTGTCTACATTTTTCTTCCATTAATAACTCTCCTCCTCTCTCGGTCTCTTCTGTCTGACAGCAACACCAACGCCAAGAAGTGGGAAACAGAGCTGCAGACTTTAAGAGAAAATAATGCCAGGCTGGTGGACGCACTGCAGGAGTCCTCGGCTAATGTAGAGAGCTGGAAGAAACAACTTGGTGCCTGCAAGGAAGAGAGTGACACGCTCAGGGAAAAGGTAATACAGTGAGGGAAATAACGTAAAAAAGGAACATGGATCCTGCTGGCAGACAATGTGACGAGTCAGAAACACTGCTGCCTCTTTTATATAAGGAACAAAACTGCACCGTAAACTTTACGAAATGAGTAGATTATCAATTTTAAGTGACCGATTAATCTAACTAGGACAGATGGAGTTTGAGGTGTGAATCCACCAGCAAATGTTTTGATAAATCTCCAGTTTCTCCAGTTTCTTCAATCTAAGTGAGCGAAGTACTTAGATTGTATTAGTTTCTGTGTTCCCTGCACCAGAGTCCACTATAAATAGAATCATTTTAGTTTCATAATCAAAGTGGGCCGTTACTGCAGCTGGGCTGGTGTTGCAATCATTAATTTTGTAACATGCTGCAAGTTTTTTTTTTTTTAGTTTTTTTTGTCTAAATGCCACTGTCAGTTTTCAAGACATCTCTTATACTCTGCAGCATATTTAGGATTCATTAAATACAAATTAGAACATTTCGAATTTTGTTTACCTACAATACTTGTTAAAGACCCGTTGTCCACATTGATTACTTTTGACTTGATTTTTCACAACAACTTCTCCTTTTTCGTTCTTTTCGCAGATTGCACAACTAGAAGTTCAGTGTAACGAAGCCGATCAGGAGAAACAGCAAAACTCCCAACTGTCTGTACGAGTGCAGGAGCTAGAGACTGAGCTGCACGAAAAGGAGCAGGTGAGACGTCTGCAATACATTCGTCTTGCAACAACAGGGCCACTGTTGGATGCAGAGGTGTCTGTAAGAGTTTAGATGACAGAGGTAACAGAGGTGGTATTTTACCCTGGAAGTGTATGATCCACTCAGACCCCTTCATCACAAAAATCACACTTTTCATGTCAACACTCCCCGCTTTGTCGCCTGAAGTTACAGATCTACTTTCTATTCCTGACTCCAACATTTCAGTGTGTCTCTTCACTGTACACGGGGTCTTCACCTCTTGTTCTTACTCAGTACCGCTCCTCTCCCTCAGGAGGTGATATACCTCCTATAATCAGGTCTTGTTGTGGGATCTTGGGTTGTGTATGGATCGGTGTTGTTACTTTTGCCTACCCAGCTGAACCCAGACCATTCTACTGCCCAACGATTTTCCCTCAATTTCTTTTTCCATTACTTTCTCTGTTGCTTGTTTTTAAAGCAATTTACTTGATATCTGTTCTGTTTTGGTACACTTAAACTCCACTGTGAAAATAGTCCGACTGGGGGAAATGTAATTCATCCACTGACTTTGTCTGTAGTCAGAGCAGCAGGGAATTCTGGCACAAATGCCATTAGCGGCATCACCCTATGTGTACTGCTTCAGTCATCTATAATCCAAACTAGCCGACTGTCAGCTCAGTGAGCCTAATGGTGCTGTCATTGCTAATGAGGATGAGCCCCGCACGGCCACACAGTCTTTCGACCTTTGCTCGTTGCTGGTTAAATGCTGTTTCTCTCAGCAGACAAATGATTAGGACCAAATTGTGGAAATGTTTGAGTCTGGCTGCCTTTTTTTCTATAGTGACTGTGTCTCCCCATTAACGTCATGAAAGGGAGACGCAATCATCAGATGTGTAGCAGAGGGAAAGACGGTCGAAACTAATTCAGTTACTATATAAGGAAAATAGATGATAAGGCGTTTATATATTTCTGTTTCTACAGCAACATTTTTTGAAGTATGTAATGGATATCTGGCAAAGTTCTTTGAGATATTTTCAAAAGTGACCCATAGACCAGCAGGTTATAAACCTGGACCCTGCAGCAGATGAAGCTTTATGCTCTCTTAAAATCTATATGATGTTCGTGTCAATCAAATTTTAAAAATGGGGAGGAAAGAAAGAGTCCATCCCAATTTCCAGAAGCCCAAGGCGACATCTTCATCGGGGCTTCAACTAACAATCATTTTCATTATCGATTCATCTGCAGAATATTTTCTTGATGATACGTTTTGTATTCAAAATACCAGGAAACGGTAAGTTGATTTCATCAAATGCCTCGTTTTATTCCTGATTCTACAAATTTACTAAAACGAAGTTCTCACATTTGAATTCCTTGAAGCATCAAATGTGTGGAATCTTTGCCTCAGGGAAAAAATGACTTAACGGCTTAATAGATTAATAGGTATTATTTGCGGATTCATTTTATTGTCCTATTTTTTCCATTAATTGTCTGATCAATTGCTCAACTAATCTTTTAGTTAGAGTTCAATAGTGTTGCAAAAATAATGACATTTAGGCTCTGCTGCGTGAAGACCCTTTTAAATCCTCAGCGGTAAACAGCGTGTCTGGGATATTCTGGTTTAGCGCCTGGCAATGTATATGTTCTGGCAATAGAACATATACTGTACATCTTTCCTTGGAGGGCTGTATATCTTACACAACAGGAAGGAAGTGGTTCAAAGAGCTGGAGCTGATTTTCTTTTTTTTTTTGAAAGATTATGAGCAAAGAGTCGTGTCCTTCGGGGGCTTCAGTGTTTCCACAGTCCTGTGTATCAGCCATATTGCTCCTAACAGTGACCGATGGACCTGCAGAAGGAAGTCTCATTGTTTGCAGAGCACTGATCCAGAAGGCGGCCCACAGAGGCTCATCTGCAGAGTGACAAACCCCCCCCCCCCCCGTCTAGAAATGCACACGCTCCACTCCTCCAATTAAAAACGAGCCTATGAATTATTAAGCATTCACTGTGGTGTTGACCCCAGCGCTGGCCAGTCGTGAACTAACAGAACAAAGCTGCAGCAGAATGTGTGACGAAGACTGTGTGTGTGTGTGTGTGTGTGTGTGTGTGTGTGTGTGTGTGTGTCTTACTTATAGCAGCAGAGGGATGAAACTTTCAGAGCAATAATAGGTGTTTGATTGAGAAGAAAACAAACATAAGGCAGAAAAACAGAATCAAGGCCTCTGTATTCATTCTAGTCTGTTTTTCTTTCTTTTACCTTGCTTTCCGTTGTTCCTGACCTGCTTTGTACCGCTGCCATCTTTGTTTGTGTCCCCCTGAAATGTGTCTGTAGCACCGCGTATCGAAAAGCTGGCATCCAGTGCCCGACTTGTATTCTTCTTTTCTTCCTCTTTTGATCAGATTGATTGAAATAATAACATCAATTTAGTATTTTATTGAGACAAAGTTTCTTGTGGAGCTGCTGCACAACGTTACAATGATTAGTTTGACATTTTGGGAAAGTAAACTTATTAGTTATACATTAATTTATTACCTTTATTCTTGCTGAGAGTTTGATGAGCAAATCGATACCACACTCTGTACGCTGAAGCCGAAGACATTGAGCTTAGCATAAAGACTGGAAACACAACAGACTGATACGAGAGTGGTCTCAATATTCTCATCAAAGTCTGCAAGAAAGCAAATGACTCTCCCAAAATATTGAACAGTTTCTTCAACATTTTAAAAGTTTGGCTTTTGTTAAATAAGCTATTGCGTTCTTAAGAGGGAATCAACCTGATGTTGATGTTTTGTTGGCTTTTGATTAACCGCTTTCTGTATCTATTTTTCCCCAGGAGTTGGAGAACCTGAGGAAGCAGGCAGAGATAATCCCTCAGCTCATGGCAGAGTGCGAGAGCATCACTGCAAAACTGCAGGTACGTTCAAAGCACCCAGGAATCCCCCAACACTTTTCTCTCAGTTGGGATTTACAGCAGAGTATGAAAGCTCGAGCTCACGTCACGTGCGAGTGCATGATGTCTGTCACAGCGAGGTAACGCGCAGGCTCTGAGGCGTGAGCAGCGCTTTCAGACTGAGGTAGAGAACGAGAGTTCCTCTTCACCATTCTGCCTGAGGGCTGGTGACATAACATTCTCGTCATGTGTCTACCAACGCACATTGTGGTTAATGCATCTATTAATACAGGTCTATCCCTGGCACAACACAGAGTTGATTATTGCCTCTTTGAAAAGGGTTCTTCTTCCTCATCTGTGAGATACTACATCTCTAGCATGGCTTATTAGTTTTCCAGCGGTGCGGATACAATCTGTTTTTCCGACTACAAAAACAGCGGAAGTAGATTGAGAGCTTTAATGACCAAGTCTGGTAACGTCTAGGTGTCTAGGTGTGTGGGTTGTTGGGTGTGAGAATCTTCTGTTGCCAAAAACAATAAAGATTCACGCCCATCACGTCCTGTCTTCCTTGTAACAAAGAGCACCTGTTCGGCAAGTCTGATTCCTCATTGAGTAATATCAGACTTTCTGTGAAACCAGAAGTGCCAGGCTTGCTGAATGATTGTACGCCCCATCAGGGCCAAGCCTAACATGAGCTCATCTCGTCCTGTTCTGACTGACTCAGAGCAGGATTTTATCATCCAAGCTGTCATGCATGTGTTATGTTTCAAGCCGGGGCAGGGAGGAGAATAAAACCAACAGTGGCATGCCTGAAGTTCTTGTGCTTCACAAAGCTCGACCGCTTGGTTTGTTTCCGCAACAGCCAGCTGGATGAATGACTGACAACAGAATCGGCTGAAGCAGGAGTTTATCTAGCCAACCAACCAAAACTCAGCAGAAGCATAGACAATGGGATTTCTCGAATACCTCCATTTACCCCAGAGGCCCAAAATGAAAAACGTAGCCACAGTCCATTCAGATGAAAGGTAATGGGTGAAGTAAAACTGTTGAAATGTCTTTTTTTTTTTCTGTGGTTTAGTTCTTTATAAAAAAATGAATCCTCCTACTCTACCTCCGTGGTCATGGCTCCTCTCTATTTAAAGACGACACCCCGCGTGGAGATCAGGTTTCAGGAGTCCACTAGAGGAGACAGTCATGCAGGCGCAACACCCATTTAGCATCCTATTTAAAACCCCTCCCTTCAAAAGTATCTTTGACATTAATGTGTCAGTCGTGTCGCCTGCTAGTCTGAAACACTTGCTTTAACTCAATGCAAAGGAGCTAAATGTTGAGTTGAATTGCTTTAATCTCATTTTTGATAGTAGCTGTAAAAAGCTCTGTCTTTGGTTTGGCTTCTCAGCTCAGATACACCCAAAAGATCATACCATCTGACATCCCTCTTTAGACATGAACTTGATTTCCCTGTATCCACCATCTGCCGTAATGTAACTATTGTTTTGTTTTCCCTTAATATCCGTCCACAGACTGCTGAGATGAAGAACAAGGAACTGGAGGGGAGAGTAGAGGGTCTTCAGCTGGACATAGAAGACAGTCAACAAAAGCAGGGCAACATGAAGGGCGAGCTGAAGAAGTTCATGGATCTGCTGGATGGAAAGATAGACGAGCTGCATGAGTTCAGGCAGGGGCTCTCCAAGCTGGGTGTTGATAACTGAGTAAAATGGCACTGAGCTGAAAGGGTCAGAGGTCAGGTATGAAGGATTCACTACAGTGTGTCTTCAGGGCAGAAACTCTGTGCACATACTCCCCCAAGGTGATGCCCACTCAGACACTATCAGCTTTGGCTTCTAATAAACACTACCATGTGAGAAAGAGATGTTTTCGGAGGGACTGGCAGGAGGAAGGCCAGCATGCTCCACCAAATGGCTCCATTCTTGTGCGCTGGCTTTCTGAAACTAAATCAAGAGTAATAATTTGAGCTTACTTTTCTGTTTCTGTTGGGGGGGGGGGGGCTTTAAAAAGCTGGTGGTGGATTCTTAGATTCTGTCCATCTGTCTTTTCTTTTCTTTTTTTTTTTTAAGGCTGCAGCACTTATTCACAGGCAGCTTAGCGTAGAAGAGGGGACTTAAAAGGGCTAAAATGAATAACACACAGACGATGCTGATCAGCATCACTCTAGTAATAATTGGTGTTAATCCTTGTGGCCCCCTCAGAGAATGAGAGATGAAATGTTTCTACAGACTGTGCTCGCTGTTGCCTCTCGTCTATCTCAGGTGTGTCAGAAGACAGTTTGTACTCATTCGATCATACAGCACATACAGGACAAACGGCCGTGACACAAAGTGCCTCCAGGTGAGTGTAAACCTCCCTGGCGAGGAGAAGCGATGACCATCACCATAATATTAACTCGATGATTTTTGTCAGGAAATGTGATGAACATCAAACATCCACTTATACAACGAGATGAGAATAAAATGCAGGTAGGCGACTGCAGCAGGAAGTCATCAACTGTCTTGTGGGTGTTTTCAGTAAACACTCCTTTTGATTCTATTTTGCATGAAGAAGGAACGCTCTCTTGTTTGAGGAGCTTTCCTTCAGAAACATCTAAAAATAACAATGGGTGCCCCCTTTTCCCGTGAGTGTAGTGTTCAGAGGACTTTGTGTGTGCAATAGTATTTTTGTCCATGTGTAGAACAAAGATGTCTCCCGGGCTGTTGATGTGCTTCTTACACACTAGTTTTTGTTATGGTGGTGGTTATTTTTGGGTGAGTGGACTTGGTGCCTCTCGTTGGGTGAATAATGTGAAGGTGTACTTCACTGATGACATTTAGTTTGGCACGGTCAGATTCTTGGTTTGTTTTACATATTTATTTATTTTGGTGCCTCTCTGCAACTAGTGTTTCTAGAACATACCAAGTAAATCAACCTTCACGTGATGTCTTTAGATGTACGATAATATATCAAATATACCAAACTTGTCAGGATGCAGAGGTTTTATAATTACTGAGGATATGTTTGCAGGATGGTGTCGCAGCTGCTTTTGGGGAAGTTGATCTTAAAACATGGTACATTTGAAATCAAAGGCATATGTTGTCGTGGCATATTTACGGGGTAATACTATGTTATGTCTATATATTTTTTCATCACTGTTTTGATCTACGAAGGGACATTTTGCTTCTCTCTCTGTTTAACCCCACTGTTAATATGTCCCCTGAACCTGGAACACAAAGTATGATCCTTCCTTTTAAAACCAATGCCTCTTGTACACTTTTGTGACTCCTGTTCAATATTGTAAAATAGAACTGACAATTGTTAAAATTTAGTTTAATTACAATGCTGAGTTTGGTGTCTTCTTTTGAAGTTCAAAGTAGTGTGCCACATTTTGGCGAGAGAGGTTTACCTAATCCCCACTTAGTCACAAATCAGTATTGTGGGTTCTGTGTAGTAAACTGAGTTTATACTAATATGCTGCAATTACAGTCTGGAGGCATTCTTTCCTGGATGAGAAGCTCGGAGGAGGAGGTGGAATGAACCTACAGCGCCAGAGCTGCGTCCCATCGAGGCTCGAGTACAGACGCTCCGCCACCGCACGTCTTCGTCTCTGATGTTGATTTACATAGCACTAAATATAGCTGTAATCCTAACACAGACGCACATAACCACAGCAAAAGAAGTGGGATTTATTCAGTCAGTGACGCGTATCATGTTTTAGAGATCAGAACAAATAAAGCAACAGACATGAGCTTGTTTGAGGGATGGAAAATACCTTCAACTCCAACATCATCGCAGCCCTGAGGAAGTAACTGCAGGGGTGGATCAGGGGACATGTTGCTGTGGCAACTTAATCCCACTCCCTCCTGTTTTGTTGTTTTAACAGTTTGAATGATTGACAATGAGAAGTATAGATCCGATGCAACCGTCCAACAATTCATCTTTTAATTACACAAGACAGTCGGTCCTCTTTGTCAGCCAGACTCTTGGATGTTGATTTTCTAAGAAACTGATTTGTTTTGTTTTTTCCCTTCAGAGATCAGCTGGCTGGAAGACTTGATATGCAGAGTCAGCACCCATTTAGGGCTGAAATGATCAACCAATCAATTGATGGAAAATTAACTGTTGTAGGACTGCAGCCAACTATAAATTTTCACTACTAATCAATTCAAACAATTTAAATGTAAAAAGAAAAATGCTTCATCATTCTGAGAAGCTTCTCATCCTGTGAGCTGAAACACTGCGCGCTAGATTCCTTTCTTGTTAATCGATGAATCGACTGTTTTGATGATCAAATGAATCATTTAGTTACTTTTGAAACGGAGTGCAAACTTTATTTTCTGTTTCCGTCTTACATGAAAGTAAACTAAATATCTTTAGGTTTAAGACTGTTTATTGAAAAAGAAGACGCAACGTGAGAACGTCACTATGGGTAATTGTGATCAGCATTTTTTCACTATGCCGTGACATTTTATGGACAAAACTGTAAATGCCTTTAGGGGATATTTAAATTTGGACAAAACAAAAAAATGTTACTGCAGGCTCTGGATGTTGTCACTTTTAGGACTTAGCCCTAGGGATGGCAATGTCTGTTGCTCCATCACTTTGGTCCAGACTTCAATATCTCAACTATTGGATGGATTGCCATTCAATTTTGTACAAACATTCATGTTCCCCAGAGGACGCATCGTGATGACTTTGGTGATGACATTTCCTCTTAAGCCAGCAGCAGGTCAAAGTTTTTAAATCTGTCCTGTCATTTTTATCTCCAAAACTAATAACATTCCCATGAGCACCAGCTGTACTTTGTGTTTAGTGCTAATCAGCAGGTGTCGGCAGGCCGACATGCTAAACTAGGATAGTTAACATGGTACATTGTCATTGTGAGCATGCTGACTTTAGTATTCCGCTTAAAGCACCACTTGGGCTATGTACATCCTCACAGAGCTGTGGCTATTTTCACTTTTCTGACTTTTTATAGACTAAATTATGAATTAATTAAATGAAAAATAAGTGAAAGAAGATAAACTCTGATGCAGCGGTGATGCAGCAACAGCAGCATCTCTGCTGTTCATGGCTGTGTCGAACTCTCTCAGCGAGGCTCATTGTGTGACCGGCGATGAGTGGGCGAGTTGGTGAAACATCATTAAGAGACTGTGAGAGAGAGAGAGAGAGAGAGAACGGCAGGCCACTATCACTGAGACTTCCTGTTGCCATAGTAACAGGCTGCGGAATTTCATGTTGACGCTCTGTGTCGTCTGGTTTCGTATAATGCCTGACGTGTGTGTGTCCTCCCCAAGGTGCATGACTCGTATTTCCCCCAGATCACCTGGAGGATACCGATAAATCTCTCACTCACACGCACATTTATGATTCATCATCATCATCGTCATCATCAGGTGGGTGACGAATCTGCCAGAGCGCTCTCACAGGTTAATGAGACACCTCTTGAGATGCTGTGTGACTTATTTAAAGGTACAGAGAACCCGTGGCGATCGGGGAACACCACGGGCAATCCACAAGAAAAGATCTCCGGCCCAACAGAGAGAAATCGTCAGCAAACCGTGTTTATGAACCAACATGTCTTCATTTATTATTAAAACACAGCAGCTGAAGTGTGTTTCAGCCGCTGCCATCATCAGCTCGTCTGCAACACACCGGATCAAGTTTCATATCTTTGAGCAATGAATCCTTTCTTCTGCCAACCGTTTAATGCTGTTGGGAATACAGTATTGTATTTTCGTGTACATAATACATTATAGCCTTGTCTTTTCAGGTAAGTGCTCCGTGTCACACAAAACAAAAATGAATCTAGTTTTCTTAATTAACTTGCCACTTCATTTGTCATGGCACCACAGAGGAAGAAACAACAGATGACCTATAAATTGCACTGGAAACACATTCACACACTTCCGACACAAAGAGAAAAACAGGGATAGGAGGACAGTGCATCAAACCTGTAATACAAACAGTGACGTAGACTTTAAACATGTGGGCTGCAAATAATTAACACTGCTGCACTTCAGGACACAACTCTTCTCTTTGTCTCGTAATAAAATGCAAAGAATGCCAAAACTCAGTGTGCTGTAGCCCTTCTTGGGGTAAAGTCAAGTAAATTAAAAAAAGAAATCGGATTTCATTACATTCAAAATAACGGAAGTCAGCCGAGTTTAGGCAATGTGGGGAAAATGAGTATTCGTGACAGTGGAGTAGTGCAGCGTGGTCGTCTCTCAGGCGTCCCGTGCTGTGTGACAGTCTCACAAAAGGCCTTTAAATGGCCAGTTGGAAGAAATGTAATCATTTACACGCTGTACTACAGCACTACTGCTCGACTTTTCTTCTTCATGAGCGTTGGAGCGCAATGCCTCATTCGCCCAGTGGAGCCGGTTGGTTGGATTTGGATGTATTACAACGTCTCAGGGCTATTTTGAAAACTGCAATGTTTACGCGAGAAGAGGCGTAATCCCAGCCGTGTCTTTTCGGTGAACATTTGGCAGCAACGTAAGCCATAGCTCAGAACCGTGAAGAAAACAGAGCGGGGGTAATGGAAGAGGACAGCTTCATCGGTGTGTGTGTGTGTGTTTTTTTTCTCAGCTGTCCCAGTCTGCACTGTGCGTCTCGTCGTCCTCGTCAGAATCCGCCGCCACCTTCTTCATCCTCATCATGGCGGCTTTGATGCTGCGCTCCAGATCGTTGTTTCCGCTGCTCGGGACTTCTCCAAGCGTAGGAACCATCTACAGCACGACGAGAGTCGATTCAATACCACTTTTCATTCGGGTTCAACATTTATTCACGCGGATATTTTTGACTCATCTTGAAAGCACAGGTGTAACTAATAATAACATTAACGATGGCTCTGCACCATGTAGGCGTGACAGTGAGCCAGCATGCACAATACAAGGACCCTGGAACAGAAGCAGCTAAATGGATTACAGCCATTGTAAATATTAATACTTAACACCTGTGTCTTCTGCTGTCTGTAAGGGTCAATTGTCACACTAATGCGTTCATGCCATCATTTACATCAACTTGTCAGTGCTCTCGGATTGACAAACTGCAATGGCGACACAGCTTCTAAATTGGCATTTCAGGACTGAAACTTACTCATCGGCTGACACATGCACAGATACAATATATCTGCAGTAAGCCGATATCGCTGGTCAGGCCAATTTGTCAGTCTAGCTGTAGGCTTCGGCCTCTCACCTTCTTCAGGGTGACTCCGTGTCGGATGGCAGACATCAGAGTGCTCCTCGTATCCCCAGCAGGGGGCGCTGTCCTGGGAGCGGGGGCCTTTCGAAGCCGACTCTGTCCATGTTGCAATGAGGCCAACACTTCATCCATTGTTCCTACAGTAATAACACAGTAGAGGAATCGTTTACAACAATTTAAGAAGCTGCACTAGAGAGAAAGAATGCATTGTCCGTAATTTTGCAGTTTCACTGCTGATGGAGCATCTTAACATTTTCACCACACAAGGCAAGACTGCACAGAGTTTCCACCTCTTTTTTTAAACAACAGCTTCCCCTTGAATGTCCTCCATTTCACAAAAAGCTCAGAAAATATCAAGTCAGGGATTGGACATTGCAGTCTCCCCGGAGCTGAGAGTGATCATCAGCAGGGCCACAACTGAGGTAAAATGCCTCCTCCGGCCTCATGGGGGAAGATGGGAATTCAGGACAGAACACCATGTACAGTCACACACACACACACACACACACACACACACACATCACACACATCACACACTCCATGCACACTTTCCTCTGGAACAAACAAACAACCTTCCCTGCAGTCTGACAGATTTGCACATTCCTTCTAAATCCACCAGGAGGATTTGGTAAAAATAAAACATTCTTGTGTGTATTTATTACAGACACATGAAAAGCGTGTAGTGCATGTATTTCACCTATATTTTGTTTGAGCATGTTCTTGGCTGGAAAAGGAGGGTCCTCTTTTTCGCTGAGAGGCATCGGTGTGTCTTTGGAGGAAGGCAACGCTTGGACAGGTGGGGAAGGCATGCCAGGGGGCAGTGGTGGGGGACGTGGAGGGGGTGGTGGGGGAGGGGGAGGAGGAGGTGCTGTAGGGCAGGTTGTTGTTGGGGGTGGCGGTGCAGAGTAGATTTGGACAGGGATGTCTTTAGGCTGCTGTTTCTTGGCTGTTTTATTGCGTCTGGGTGCAGAGCGGACGGAGGGGGGGCCTTCGGGGGGGCCGAGGCTGATGATGGACAGTGGCTGGGAGGGACACGGCACTTCTGAAGGAGACATCCAGGACTGAGGAGTCTTCAGGATGAACTGGCCCGGTCGCCTCTTAAAAAAACACGGTAGAAGAGGCAGAAAATGGTTTTAGAAAAACAGACATCATCTTGTCCAACGTTCTGAGATAGAGACGGCAAAGACACAAGACGACACTCACACACTCTCTAGTGTTCTTTGTCTCACAGTGTATTGAGTTTAACCACAAGTGACAGAGGGACTGTGCACAAAATACACACACACACACACACACACACACACACACACACACAGCTGACATAAAGAGAAAATAAAATCCTCCCAATCTGCTCGAGTTGGAAAATCTAAAATTGAAATTTTGCTAGAAATGTTGAGCGTTTGATATCAGCATTGACCAAACACATCTCTGCCCCAAATAGCTTGTACACCAAACCCCAACAGCCCTGTTCCTAAACAAAGATCCAAAATGTACTGCCTTATCTCTTACTCTCCTCTCCTCTCGGGCAAAGCCCTCGTCCTCCATGCGCCATTTAAAGCTCTGGTGTAAGACAGCTCGCTACTAACAACCACAGCAGTTAGTCTTCATTTTGGACATTTTCGCCTTCTTAGGAGAGTTTGACGGTGAAGAGATGGGCAGGAAACAGGGGAGAGAAAGAGGGATGTGACAGCCAACAAATGTCCTCATTGAAAAAGTGACATTACAGTTATGTGGCGTGTGCGCTGTAACCTCTCGCCTACCAAGTCAAGTAATTAATGACTGGATTTTAAGTATTGAATTAAGCGGGAGCCTCTGGGGCTTTATTAACAGAAGAAGAAGCTGCAGAGAGAGCCTGACCTCTCTGAAGGATCGTAATCTGCTCAGAGTCTTCTCTCGCTCCTGGTCCACCCACTGTTTCCTCCTCTGATCGTCCTCCTTCCTCTTCTCTCGTTTCTGCAGAGGGAGACAGCGAAGGGTATTAAAGAGTCAAAGAATCGGACCCGGTTTCATTTGTGGCTTCTGCCGGATGTCTGGGAGCATCTCTGTGGCGACCTACCAGGTGGACCTGATGGTGCTGGTTGAAGAGCATGAAGCTCTGCTTGGCGGGAAGCTGCTTCTGCTCGTTGGCCTCCACACACTGATCCTAAAGACGGACACGGATATCAATACTTGTACATACAAAATACCATAGTACTTTAGCAAGCATGTCCTTCAAAGTTCAGAAACTTGCAGTGAAACTGATAACGAGGAAAAAGAACGCCTCGGTTACTCTGAAGAGCGTTTCGTTTTTTTAATGTTCCTCTTTTTTTACCTCATTTTTAGAGCCTCTAACCACTTTGATCTCAGCAATAAAATGTTTTCATATAATCAGACAAATGAAGATGCAGCCAGCAGGAGGAGAAAAAAATGCCAACTGCACTTCAATTAGTCTGTCAGCTAAAAATAAAACAGTACAGTAGAAAAAAACATTTTAAACTCAGCAATTTGAGGTAAGAAGGGAATAGAGTGAGGAAAATGCCAAAATCGTATACCCTTGGAACTAAAAATCATTTGCGATGGGGCAGAGAACGTCGGCGGTATAGTCGCCCACACCTTTTTGTTGCGGAGATAAGCTCGTCGGACACAGATGTTGCCTCTCTTGATCTCCAAGGTCTGCAGGCGTCTTTTGAGCTGACTGACAGCCGGAGGGTCGGTTTGCTGAACACCCGTGTGTGTGACCAAGCTCTGCAGCTCCTCGGGATCCTCGCACACATCGTAGTACACCACCTCCTCCTTCAGCTCTACAACACAAGTGCAGCCCAATCACTCAAAACTCACCCGTTACCTGTTCACAAAGCTGCCCTGTCAATTCAAACAAGTGGAAGTCTTACATCATCACTCTCCATTCTGTATTCAACAGAGAGGACATGATGCTGCGGGTATCATTTTGGTAATCAACTATGCAAACGTGTACTAGGAATGTAAATTACTATGCATAGACAGACAAGCAAGCCTTGTTGTGCAGGCAACACTGTACATGCATTTTAAAGAACTGATTATTGTTTTGGTGGTCAGCAGGAGACCTAGTTTCCCTTATCAGATTCCAGGGCCACTTAGCCGGGTTCTCAGAGGTTTTTGCGTGACAAAGATGCATTTTAGAGCAGGTACTGATGCAGCAGTATGGTAAGTATTAAGGGAGAAATTTCATTATTGACCAGCTGCATCTAAATTGGAAATGTTGGAGTCATCTGACGAGAGCAGCTCTTTTTTGTGAATATGTTTACGAGCATAGAAGAAACCAGGTGATCTGCATAGTAGCCTGTGTCAGTTGTATGAGTGAAAAAGGAAGGGGATTTCTCATAAAATAATTAAGGCCATTAGGAAAATCCTTGCCCACTGTATTTTATTTACAGCATAAACTCTTTTGAAAGGCTTCATAAACTCAGCAGCCTCCTTTGATGTGAAACATCTCTTTTTCTCTGTCCTCCCGCTTTCTTTACCGAGCAGCAACTGGTAGAGGACTCCTTCCTGCTTTTTGGTTGGGAAAATAAACCTGGAACCAGCCAAAGCAACAGACGCAGAGACACACAGCATGTACATACACACCACTGGGAAGCAAACATCACTGGTCCCAGGGGGAGCAATTAGGGAAATATCTACATGCAAACTATTTCCCCAAAGTAAACCCTGTGCACATGACACTGAGTGACCAGAAAAACAGAAACGCCTGTATATCATAACGTAATGCAATACATCGGTTGTGTGACGAACATGTGAAACATGGTGTAACATGTGATTTTTAACTCTTAACTGACACTGTGTCAGGAAGGTGCAGTGTAGCGTTATATCGGATGGTGATATATGAGACACATTACAATGTAACGCAGTCCAATAAAACACTACCACAAACACACAGCCTAAAATTGGGCCATTTTACTGAGTCCACACAAAAACGCACGCAACCATTTCTAAAGGGTCAGTTCATCAAAATAAAACAGAAAAGGGAGAACACATTGCCCCTCCTTTTACAGGTTTTCAAACTGTGAGATGCTCCTTATATCTCCAGAACCTGCCTGAGAATAATCCAGTATTACTCCACTGTACATCCATGGGTACAGTGAAAACTGGAACTGTTGTAGCTAAGGTGACCTGACACTTTACGTAAGCTAATATTGATTGCAGGGCTTTTATACTGCAAAAGTTAAGTGTTAATATGTTTGCAGTCATTCACTTTATTACTGCATTCATTTAAACACAGTGTTCAGGCAAAGATGGCAATTTGTGTTAGGATTCCAACAACAGTTTCCCAGTGTGAGGCGACCGTGAGCCTTTTCTCTCTGGTTTGTGACAGTATTTACTTATAGCTTCTGGTATTATGCTGTCTTCAAAAGGAAGTGTTAATAAATACAGAGTGATTCATATATCTTCAAATCAATGTTGCTTAAGTGTTTTAGTGTAAGGACACCAATTCAGTGTGATCACAGTGATTCAATTTTTTCTCTCGAAAGCAAGCAGCACACAGATCTGCGCTTGTTGTCATGCGTCATCTACCTTTAATCTGCCGTCGCACCGTTTCTATCTGAACCACCAGCAGCTGCTCCTCATTCTTCAGGATCTCAAACTTGGTGTCGTACAGCTCAAGTTGGGTTTCATAGAATTTCAGCTCCAGCTGGTCCACAGTGTCCTGCTGCTGGTCGTCCTCAGACTCAGACCTGGAATCAGATCTGTGGCTCTTGACTCTGCCAGACAGGCTGCCCAACTGCACCACAACAGAAACAGTTCAAAGGATCATATATCCGTCTTTGCAAATAAGGGCATACCTGTGCATACTTATGGCTGACCTTCTTCTAGACTAGAGAATACCATACGTTTTGATTGAATTAGCTGCTGGTTTCAATTCCTATTTATTTTCTTCCCCCAGGTCGCACGTGTGTCCGTGAGAGTGCGCGTGCACCTCTGTGTCTGTCCACGGCTAAACAACTCATTCTGCTGCAGCAAACATATAATTTCATGTCTCTATGCCGCGTACACGCAACACACCATAAACCAACCTTCTCAATGCCAAGGGGGGAATTGTAACAAACTCATATCTCATACTCATGGACTTCGCCTTTTTACAATCTCGATAACGATAGAAGCCAAGTTTTAAACTTATTTTAAGGAAACGAAGGTTGACTATCCTGAAAACAATTTTAACGAGCAAAACATTCACTGAAATGTAGAATTTTAAGACTTCCTATTTCTAAAGGATTTAAGAATGCAAAATCCTCAGACATGTCATTCATTCTTTTATCAGTAAACTTCGTCTGAAAAGACGTCTGGAAAGACCCGAGCGCACGCGCAGTGCCAACTTGCGGGTCCTTCGCTCTCGAACATTATTTTCAGGTGCGCTCACCTCGCGCCGGCGTCAGTACGGCCAGCGTAACGGAACTACCGGTGCTCACGCGGCTGCTTACCTCTCGGCTGCAGCACTGCGGCTCTCTTTTACTGTTTTGAGTGTTTGGCTAACGGAACTACAAGTATACACATTGCTGTAACGTCACCTCAGGCAGCCTGGTGAGTTTAAGTTTGTTTTTAAGACGTGTCTTCTACCACACAGTCTTAGTGGTCTAACACGACGACTCATTCATCGCCCCTTGTTGTTGTTTGAATTAAGTGTGTTGTACAAAGCCTTACGGCCCATTAGTGTCTGGCCATGTATGGGTTGTATTCATTCAGTAATTGACACGACATAGCAGGGTAAACACAGGTGTAATTCATAAAATGAATTATGGCACCATTCTATTTACCATAATTACAATGTTATTAATTACACCTGTGTTTACCCTGCAATGACAGTGGTCGATCTGCACTCTACTGATTGCTCCTTTCTAGTTTCAGTATGCAATTAACTTGCAGGAACTTGATACGCTAACCTCTCTCAGAGATGGTGAGGCAGTTGCAAGCAGTTCAAAAAAAGATTGTTCTTGTTGTGTTCAAAAGCTCTTTGAATGATCTGGGCTTAAAGTCAGCTGTCGAACTGAAACATGTCTAGTGGAACAGCATCCTTTCATGACGTCTGCAATTCTTATTTCTTGCCTTCCGAGTTTGATTTCTTGACACTTGCAATTGCTTGTGAGACTGCTTGGAAGTGTCCTTAAACGTGATAACAAAGAGTTTTCAAAATAATCTCTTTGCTTTCAATTACCAGGTGAAGAACAAAGGATCTGTGCTGGATAACCTATCTCAAGCCAGGTTTGATATCTGCAAGTTTGTTTTCACACTCTGATGAAATGTGCTGAAACCAACAGCTACCCGCCAGGTAGGAAAGTAATGTTAAGTGTGCCTGATATGTAGTTAATGAGCTGACTCATTCAAAGCATATATGTGTCCTTAAACTCTTTGAATTATGTCAAATATAAATACACACACACAGTCAGGATATGACACGAGAACAGTAAAGAGTGAATTGATTTGAGATATTACACAGCTCATCCCAAGCGTGTATGTATGTATGTATGTATGTATATATATATATATATATATAAAAAAAGGCAGACACCTTTACATGTATATCTATATATGTAAAGGTGTCTGCCAGCATACTGGTGCACTCAAAAGAGCCACAGAGTCATGTTGCCACCAGCGACATGACTCTTTCAGAGATTTTGCGTAGGTGTAGCTTACTGATCTCATTTTCAGTGCTCACACACAGCCGCCTCTGTTAGGGCTCATTTTGATTTCACAGTGGTAGGTGCCACAGACGCATGCTGATTTTTTTTTTAAAGAGTTTAATCAGGTGAATAATGCAGCCACATGAAGGTGAAGGTGCTCTCTGTATTTTTCCAAAATGCTCAAATGTGCAGCACGACAAGCGCTTTGCTGCTGTTTACCCAAAATACACGCTCCCCACCCCTGTACTCGGAGGTATGCATCTACAGTAGCTGGCACGTTCAGAGTGTGTATACTGACACAGATGCACTCACTTATTCATCCATGCAGGTTTTGGGGATTCTCTGTTTTTACAGAGGCTTTAAAAATAGATCAAAGGACTAAAGCAGCCATATATTTACATCAGACTGGAATACCAAGGGAAAGATTCACTGTGTCACATCTCTACACACTCACAACCACTACAAAAGCAGCGTTGCCTTGGCACTAGAGATGAAGAGCTACTAAACTAAAGCCTTAAAACCAGAGAGTCCGATACACCATTATAGAATCTGCTGACTAAATACAGAACCACCAGAAAGGCTGTGGTTTGTGTTAATAAAAACAAAAACGTAAGACACACACCCTTTGTCTGATGCCGTCTTTCTTGCGGTTGAGGCACATCTCTGCAGCTCTCATATGCTGCAGCGTTTCTTTGGCCAAAAGGAAGCGCAGTTTCTCCAGTCTGGGAGCTGCAGACGCCCAGGCAGCAACACCAAAACGGCACTTATCCTCCTCCATCTGCTTTAACATACCTGAACAGGCACACAAGGGCATCACACAAAGCACATATATGTATGTATAAATACACATGTATTAACCCGGACAAAATACCCACGGGTACTTTTACAAAGTTGGACTTAATCAACTTGAGTTAGTCAAAGAATGTCAGAGTTCATAACACGCTGTTATGCGAGTTTTGTAATTTATGTTCCCGAACAGATTCCCTTGTCTCTATTCCCCAACATATCTTTTTAGGCATAGATGTGTTACTTTAAGTAAATGCTGGGTTTACAGGCACTTAGACACAGCAACAATTGCCAGCCATATAGATTGTAGAACGAGTGTGTCCATCTAAAAGGTTTATTTATTGTAAACATCTCCCCTCCGATCAAGGTGGGAATCCACATAAAGAAATGGCTGCCAATCGTTTTTTATTCTCTTCGTTTTCCTCCTTCCAACAAGAATATAAAATGCTTAATTTGAGCAGGACGTGTATCCCGCAGCACAATTATCTGGTATATTATTATATAAGTGCTCATTTCTTTTAGATTAATGAGTGTATTTTGTGGACTTTTAATAATTTTAATATATATATGAAATATATCATAAATATGATTTGTTTGTCTGCAGTTGTGACTCTACTGCACTTCATTTCCTGAGTGCTGAGGAATGACAGCAATAGAAATCATTCATTAATTCATCCACACACAAACAAGAGACATAAACACAGCAACGTGTACCAGCCAGAGCCTTTGAAGTCTGTGCAAAGTAGGTGACAGTGATGTCCTGAATTGAGGCGACTGCATCTTCTGCTTTCGTTCTCCACTCCTCCGCCTCCTTCTCCAGAGCTGCAATTCTCTTAGGACCCAAGTCCTCAAACTCCAGAGACTTCTGCAGAGACCCACGGCAAGAAAAACAGTGGACAACTTTAGGCTCTTGGATGGAATGCAGACACTTAACCCACATATACAGCGGGTAAAATAAGCATTGAACACGTCATCATTTCTCTCAGTAAATATATTTCTAAAAGGTGCTATTGATATGAAATTTCTACCAGATATCAGTAACAACCAAAGTAATCCACACATACAAAGAAAACAAAACAAGTTCAGAAATAATTAAGTTATGTGTAATAAAATGACAGTGAAAAAGTATTGAACACGCTTACTGAAATGTATTTAATACTTTGTACAAAAGCCTTTGTTGGTAATGACGGCTTCAAGATGCCTCCTGCATGGACAAACTAGTCGCATGCATTGCTCATGTGTGATTTTGGCCCATTCTTCCACACAAACGGTCTTTAAATCTTGAGGGTTTCCGTGGGCCTCTTCTATGAACTCTGATCTTTAGTTCTTTCCATAGATGTTCTATTGGATTCAAGTCCGGTGATTGGCTGGGCCATTCTAGCAGCTTTATTTTCTTTCTCTGAAACCAGTTGCGTTTTCTTGGCTGTGTGTTTGGGATCATTGTCTCGCTGAAATGTCCACCCTCGTTTCATCGTCATCATCCCGGTAGATGGCAGCAGATTTTTATCAAGAATGTCTCGGTACATTTTTCCATTCATCCTTCCTTCAATTATATGAAGTTTGCCAGTGCCGTATGCTGAAAAACAGCCCCACACCATGATGCTTCCACCTCCAAACTTCACTGTTGGTATGGTGTTTTTGGGGTGATGTGCAGTGCCTTTTGACCTCCAAACATGGTGTGTATTATGGCATCCAAAGAGTTCAATTTTGGTCTCATCTGACCAGACTATATGGCCCCAACACTGCTCACTGGAACATTCAGAAGTTTAGAAATCCTTCTGTAACCAATGCCATCAGTATGTTTTGCAACAATAAGATTATGAAGGTCTTGAGAGAGCTCTATGCTTTTACACATCATGAGATGTTTCTTGTGTGACACCTTGGTAATGAGGCCATCAGTTGGGACTGAACCAGCTGATATTAATTTGCACTGACAAGGGGCAGGAGTGCTTTCTAATTGCTGATAGATTTCAGCTGGTGTCTTGGCTTTCCATGCCTTTTTGCACCTCCCTTTCTTCATGTGTTCAATCCCTTTTCCCTGTGTCATTCCATTTTATTACACATAACTTAGTTTCTGAACTTATTTGTTTGGTTTTCTTTGTATGTGTGGATTACTTGGCGTGTTACCAACATCTGGTGAACATTTCATGTCAATAGCACCTTTAGAAATATATTTACTGAACAATGGTGACGTGTTCAATACTTATTTTACCTGCTGTATTATACATTCAGCTTTTAGTAAAAGTTTGTTAAGTGAGAAAATCAAATTTGACCTCATATTTTGCTTGAATGAGACATAAAAATATCAAATTGTGTCAATCACTTCACCATCATGTGTGTACAGGTATGAGAGGAAACAGGCCAATCCTTCCATTAGTGCTGTATGAGTATTGTGTTGTCACTAACAAAGCAGGCTATTAGTGGTTGCACAGTGATACTTAGTCGAAGAGAGACTGTTGCATATCATACAAGAACTAGCAGCACATTTAAATTCCTGATGAGAATAGATTCAATATTTAGATACCAAGACAAGCTGCATAATATGTATATAATCATTCCCCATATCCTGAAAAGGCCACAGCTGCTAAATACATGTCTGTAATTACCAGGATCTCCATCTTGTAGAGGCAGGCCAGCTCTCTCATGTCCCTGAAAGGCTGCAGCAGGTACTGGAAGAAGGTGGTGGCCACGGTGGCCAGGTCCTGGTAGGCCTCGTCCTCTTCCTCGTAGATGCTGAGCAGCGCGACCATTCGGTCTGCTCTGCCATGACTCTGCAGAAGCTGATAACATGGAAAACATACACACCATTACCTGGGTTTATTCTGAGCCCACAGCCGAGTCTTGGGGATAATATTAGTCCTTTCAGAATAAGACGTTTAGAACCGGGTGGGCTCAGGGTTGACCAGAGAGGTCAGTGGTTCATTACCACTGGATTACTGGAGTCATCTCTCTGACACTCACCACTGAAGTCTCCTCTAACGTGTTATTAACAAAGAAGTGATGACACCTTTAGACCACAGACCTAGGTCAGCTTGATCAATACCTGAAATGCTGTCAGGTAGAGGGGAGAGTGAGGTTTTGTATTTAAAATGTAACGAGGTTTAGCTGTAAGATTTAATACAAATTAAATATAATGCCACAAACTATGGTGTCGAATCTGCTCTCTGACGCAGTGTCAACAAAAGCATCACACGATCTAAAAGTGTATTTATTGCATCACTATTGCATGTGATTGCATTCGGTTGTAGTGATGTACTGATGCTGTTTACACTGTACTCTCCTCCAGTGTCTCGTATCACTTGGCTTTAAACGTGGAGTGGATGGCTGTCATCATACTGTAAGGCATCTGACCATGATATTTACTTGTGTAACAAGCAAATGGGGTTGTCAAGGTACATTCCTTTGTAGGGCAAAAATGACTGACAAACAAACAATGCTGCCGCTGTTGCAACATCCACAGCTTTGGTTGAACACAGCAAGCCAGCAGAAGGTTTGCTGTGTCATAGTTGACTTGTAACACCACTGTGTGGTGCTATTCCTGCTACAGAGGTTTCCCAAGCTGAACTAAATCCTCCATCCCTATTATTTCATTCAAGTAAAACTGAAAGTACTCGTCTGGCTTGTGCAGGTGTATGTTTGAGTGCATAAAAGATAGGATTCTTAGTCATATGGTTTTGGCTGTGATGCACAGAGGCCAGAGACGAAGATGGTAACATGGACAGGCCGGGGGGAAAAGCATAAATCTATTGATATTCAATCATCAAAACGAAACATGATCTTTGGTTCTGTGGAACCTTCAGTGCTAGAGTACAGTATGTGTCGATAATACACACGTAAAACTACTGCAGTCTAATACAGCAGCTACCTTCTCAAAGGGTATAATGGTACATTTGTTGTCCATCATCATGGACACAAATGAAGTCAACAAAATGTGAATATTGTATTGTGTCACACTAAGAAGCGTCTCTAATATTTAGTCCGTCCTCGCTGATATTTTGACACAATATTAGAAACACCTCCAAGTATCAAAGTATTTATTGCAGGGTTGTTGTATTAGACTGCAAGGTGTCCCTAATAAACTGGAGTGTGTATACAGTGTGCATGGCCCCATGTGACCCCCCTCTCACCTGTCGCACGAGGCCCTTCGCCCTCGACATCTCCTCCTGCATGGTCTTCATCTTGAACTCCTGTAGGTTCTCAAAGTACTCATCGACATCTCGCTCATCCTGCGCGAACAACGTCTCGAGCACAATTTTCCGTCCGCAGATGTCGATGGCTGTGCTGAAGTATTTCTCGAGTTTCCGACAGGGCGAGTCAAAGTCCCTCTCCTCATCGTCTTCGGGACCGAACCTCCGATTCAGGAAGAGCAAGTCCCAAATGTTGCTGTCTTCGAACTCTGACAGATCCGGGAAACACGTTACCAAGATGTCTGCCACGCATTTAAACTGCTGGTGGATGTGTCTCAATTCGCACACGGAAAAGAGTCCAGCCCAGCTCATCTGAGGGTCGCCAGGAGCCACTTCGGCTTTGCGTTTCTGCCGCTGTAGCGTCCTGTTGTGGCAGGTGACAGCGAACTTGCACTCGATGACGTTCCACTGGACGATGAAGCCCAGCTTAAACGTCTCGGCTTCTTCAAATATGTTAGTTTTAACGGCTACCCAGCCCTCCAGACTGTCCATCCGCTCGATTTCTACGTTGTTCATCTTGAAAAGAAGTCTTTCACTTTGGCCTCCGAGAAGCTGCTGGCTCTGTTTACAACGTCCGCCATTTGCGTGACGTAAGCCGCCTTCAGGGACCTCGGGCATATCCAGAACTGTGGAGAAACTGGTCATGAACGGTTTTACAAATGGATTAATCTGGTGTTGTTGTCACGTTTATTGATAAATGTCGCACATTAGTTAAGAAACATAAGTACAGCACCACTCCGAGTGTTGGTTACGGTACGTGTATCGCCTCATCTTGCTTTTCGTGTTCAGCGGGTCAGTGTTCCTTCATTCCTAACGTCAAAGCAACAGTTATGGAAAAAGTGCTAGCTTTGGATTTTGATTACTGAGGTACCTAAAGAGCACGCGGGGGCTCCATCCGGATATTTCTGATGCACAAAAGCCTTTAAATGACCTAGTTGGGAGTTTACGAGGAGCCCTGAAGGCACCATAATGTCCCCTGTATTGTGTTCAACTTCGACCTTTAAATCACATGTTGGGGGAATTCCACCTCCTTATCGCAATAAATGAAAGCTGAAACCGGTTTCAATGTTTACAGTGTAAACAAAACTGATGCCTATAATTAGTTTAAATTGTAGGCCTACGTTGTTGTTTTTTTAATAAATAAATAACTAACTTCCAACATTGATGTTTGGCATGCCTGTGACATTTGAGCAATCCGAGTCGGTCTATTTCTGTCACAGCTTCTGGGTGAGAGTTGGTTACAGCTGCTTGCTGAGCTGGTTTGTCGGAACACCACTGTTGGCCTGAAATGGCTGTTTAGAACAGACTGGGTTGCTGAAGTATCGAGGTAAATATGCTCTCTGCTGCTCGTTCATTATTGATCATTTAAGAACAAACTGATTGTTCTGCACATGCAAGTTGCTTGGTTCATGTTTGAAGAGTGTAGTTTTGAGATTTCATATTGTGTTCATTAGAATAGTGGTCTCAATCTAGATCTATAGATTAGTATAGGTAAGAACAGGAAGGGTTGGAGTAAAATGATTTTTTTATCAGTGACTTGAATCATAAATGGATTGTAAACCTCCCACAGTCCCTCTCATGGACCTGTATGAGATCAGAGGAGGCAGACTGGATGTGATAGCAGAGGAAGCTGAGCACCAGGAGTTAAGCAGAGAGTCGACCACCATGGCAGACAGAGGAGCGAGGGCGACCCGAGGAGTTTCCACCTTCCAGAGGTCTTCTGTTGGCACCAACGAGTCCCTTACCTTTGAACTCTGGGAGGACAGCCTTCCGTCTCCCACTGGGGCACAAGATGGACATGATGATGTGTTTAAAGAGGGAGAAACTGAGGTGGGGACACTAACTTGGCTTTGGCCCATGATGCATGAACGAAACATTTTCTGTTCAACCACAAAGGTTTCTTGGGTTTAAATAACTTTTTCTAGAGGGGCTTGGTGCATAAATGCAGAACCAGCACCCCTAGAAAAAAATGTGACATGTGAAAGTGTGACTTTCAACTGTTTCCAGAGTGAGATCGTAACGACCAGGAATCGTCTGCAAGGGAAGGTCGCTGAGATGGAGAACTTTGCAAGTCATCTGGAGGAGATCTTTCTCACTGTGGAGGTAAAAGTCATTGTCAAAAGACTTTGGGTTTAGTAAAACAGTTTGTTGTAATGTGTTTTGACATTGATTTATTGTTCTATTTCTGAGTGTTTGGGAATACTTGTTTTATTAAACTTAAAGACAGAAATTCAGTTCCAGATTTCAGTTTTGTAAATCCATGTGTGTCTCCTGAACGGCCTGAACATTTCATTCATTGCCTCCCTTGATCTTCCATCCTCTCCTCACTTTTCGTTTCCTTCCACATTTTGTTTAATACATAACACATGTGCAAACCTCTTGCTATGATCATCTAAATGTATGTGCAGGAGAATTTTGGCCGTCAGGAGCAGCACTTGGAGCAGCACTACAACGACGTGCTACAGACGTTGTCTCAGCGATACGACGACAGGGCGGCTGGACTGGAGGAGGAGAAGAAGGGCAAGATGGAGGCCCTGTACAAGCAGCTGCTGGCTTGTGGTCAGGCGATGGATGCCTCCAAGGAGCTGATTGAGACGGCCCAGGAGGTCTACCGCAGCCAAGACAAGAGGCTTTTCCTCAAGGTGTCCTAGCTTGTGTTTGTGTGTGTCCTAGCTTGTGTTCGTGTGTGCAGCCGTATACGTGATGATAAATGGTTTCAGACGGGGATTTAGCCGTCATAGTCCAAAAACAAAAAACACGACTAATGGGATCTGGGATCTGGGATATGAAATGTTGATGAGTATTTCTTCATTTATATTTACTTAAATTTTCTTTGACGTTTATGGACAGGCAGTTAGTCCCACCATCAAAAGGTAATTATGACGCTGCTCAGTGAGTATGCCACATGGTGTGACCCGGCACTGGCCGTGACTGCAGTGTGATTTCAAATGACTAACCGTTAGTGGCACAGGGCCAAGACTGTTTCCGTGTGTTTTTTGCCTTAAGTTTCAGACTAATATTATTTAAGTAGACACATTTTCAGCGTGAAAGTAAATTCTTGGCCTTGGAAAAAGTAGTTTGACATAAAAGTCAGTGCTCAAGGTCCTCGTACGAGCTTTTTGCACAGCATTGAGATTTTTTTGTCAAACTACTGACTATATTTTGAGTGATCCAAATGACACAAGCAGCTTTACCCTAGATAATACATCTTATTATTCAAAGCTCGTTTTCTTCTTGTACTAAACCAGAATCGAGGAGTTTGCCATAGAGCAGGTTGACCTCACGCTGTCTACAAGTCTCGAGTTTGACACCCCACTTGCTGACCTGTCAGATGTCAAAACCATGATGGACTCCATCAACGTTGTCCCAGGTCTGATTTACACACTGATCCCCCAGTTCACCTGTTACCCATCGAGCAATGACTGCGTCTGTACAGCACACAGAGTCGAGGTTCATTGTCTTGTCAATATCTTCAGAGTTGTCTTTGACACATTGGGCTCTGGACAACTGAGACAGTCTATAGTTAAAACAGAGAAGTCTGTGGTGTGGTGGTTGCCCAGGGATGTGTTTTTATACACAAGGTAACCGCCAGTGTGTCAATGATCAAGTGATGTTACCACCCATACAGTGTTTTAAAGACTGTTCAATAAGGAGAGAACATTTGTAAGTCTGTATAATATTTATTGAGAGAGTGTGGTGACTAGACCCCATTGATTTGAAGCATCTTCACTAAGCAGAGGCCCACATGAGGATAAGAGATGGGAGTCTAGATGCTGGTGTGGTGTAAAGCCAGCAGGTGGATGATGGGGATCTCCCTGAACATCCTGGAGGTGATTGTGGTGATGGGGAGGTGGTGGGTTGCACAATAGTAGGTCTGAAACACACAATTACAGGCTTAAAATGACAAGCGGTCTAAAGGCTGGTTTGACCTGAGGAGTCGCGAGCAGAAAGATTATTGATCAGATCTGGTGAAATCTGAATTGTGTATGTAGGAACTGACCCAAAGGTGTCAGTGTTTAAACTATCCTAATGTACCGTTATCTCACTTACTTGATTACAGAACTGAGTTAATAATGTTTCTCTAATATAAAAACAGCTCCGTCTGCCCCGGTCATCAACCCGCAGATGCCCAACTCTGCCACCCAGACGTCCCTGCGTGTGTGCTGGAGCTTGTTCTCCGACGACACGGTGGAGTACTATGAGCTGTACTACAGACCAGTGCTGGAGGACACGCCAGCAGACAGCACCTGTGCACCACATGGTATAACACAGTCACATTGCATGGTAACACCATCTACTGTCGAAATGGTATCTGCTGATGTGGGAATCTGTGATTCCTCTTAAGGATACTGGGGACGTGGTTTTGATCAGAGCAGCCAGAATTTAAATCTCTGTTGTTGTTGTTGTTTTTTTGCTTTTTTTTCAGTGAGCAAGGTAAAAGTGAAGGAGACCCACTGCGCAGTGACAGATCTGCTGCCGAATGCTCAATATGAACTCTGGGTGACTGCGACCAACACCACAGGCATCAGCCCAGCGAGCGAGAAGACCTTATACATGACAGGTAATACATGTTGCTCTCCTACAAATACATGAGGAGTTATTAAACTTGTCACGCTCACGGCAGGTTTGTTCTCTTATTTTGTAATCACTCCAGCCTCTCATGATTGATGTTTGAGAGAATACTATCTAAATGGTTGATTCCTCTCTCTCTCTCTAGTGCCGTCGCCTCCAGTGATCAAGCAGAGGGAGTGCACTAGCTGTCCAGAGGCTGCTCTGATCCGCTGGGAGTCGGGGAACACCAACCCTGTGGACTCTTACACTGTGGAGCTCAGTGAGATGGGCACTGATGGCGCAGAGAGCGGCATTGCTGAGTAAGAACTGTGTTATTAACATACACCTGCAGTCGACAGATTCTACATAGAAACCAGCACAAGTTTCACTTGTGCTTTTATTGAAATATGCCATGTTTATTTATAAGAGTTTGCACACAAAGGTAAACTAAAAATAGCTCTACTGGATTTTAAAATGCATCTTCACTGGCCTGTCCTTTTAATAAGGCTTTTGCTTCATCCATAAACAGGCCTGTGTTAGTGCTTGCCTGGGGTTTTTGAGGTCCCATGGCTATAGAGCTGCTGAATCAAGACACACTGTCCTAGAAAATCTATTCTTAGCTTCAGCTCCTGCAGCACTGTTGTGTTGTCACATTTGGGGTCATTTTCATTTTTCAAGTGGTCACTTCAGAGAACAGTCAAACCCATTCGTTTGACTAGCCTGTGTTTTTCTGCACAGAAGAGGCTAAACATTATTAACTGAAATGAGTCTGTGGTCCAACTATGACACAGTTCTTAGTGAAACACCCCATTTATCCTCCGAGTATTTCAAAAGTTGTGAGACAAGATGTTATTTCAAGGCTTTACACTCTGGGAGAGGTATGGGAATTTAAGACAATCCAAAAGGTTGACATCATTGTCCATTTAGTATATTTCAAAAGGAAATGATATCAGCCTTCTGTCTCATTGGTTAATCCTTCAGGTCGGTAGTAGCCGTGCCCACCTGTCAGTGTCTGATCCAGCTGCAGACAGGCCGCCGTTACCTCATCTCTGTGAGAGCAGTCAACATCGGCGGGCCCAGCGACAGGAGTGACGTTATTACTGTGTCCACAACAGGTGAGACGCACTGTGGATCAGCCTCTTCGTGGTACTTTTGTGTGAGCAACAAAAGGTACTTAAAGCATTGAAATAAAAGTACTTCATAGTGTCAGGCAACCCCTTTGTGAGTCCTGATTCCCAGGTTGGGAACTACTGAAGTAACTTGTAAGTGATTGAGGTGGTCATTTTCATATAACTTTTTTCAACATATTCTGACTTTTTCCAACCTAATATACAATTTTTAATGACTTTCTACATAATACATTAACTAATTTATGATTTTTTTGACAGTTTTTTGCCCTTTTTCATTATACTAAACTTATTTTTTTATTCCCTGATCAGGTTTTTTTTTATAGGTAACTTAATATAGCTGTTCAAAAATTGCAGTGGAGTAGAAGTTCAAAGTAGCATCGAATAGAAATACTCAAAAACAAAGTGCATCAAAAGTGTATTTAAGTACAATACTTTATTAAATGCACTCCGTCACTGCTTTTTCACCCTCGTATGATGACTGTCATTTACCTGTGCAGGCACATTCTTCTACCTCCTGGAGGACACCGCCCATCCTTGCCTGTCCATCTCTGAAGACGGCTTCACCGTGTTTTATGGAGACGAGGAGCTGCCAATTAGCGCCATGGCCTTAGATGATAACACTTTTACCAGGTAAAGCATACAATGGCTGCTTGTGTGACGGGAGATAATGGGAACCTTTTAAGGTTAGAATACAGATATGTAAAATAAGACTGTGTGGGTTCAGGTGTGTAGCTGTCCTGGGGGATATGATCCCAGTGAGAGGCCGGCATTACTGGGAAGTTGAGGTGGACGATGGGACGGAATTTAGGATTGGAGTTGCGTCCGTGGACACAGAGAGGAACTCGTACCTCGGAGCCAACAACACCTCCTGGTGTATGAGACACATTCTCACTCCATCCAGGTAACAGTGGATAGAAATAACTTTAATGTTCTGTAAAACATAACGGATTTTCATGTGCTCTATGTCTGTGATTGGTTATGACGGTACTTTTGAGGGCAGCACCACTGCTCCCAAATCAGTCTATAAGATTTCGGGTTTTTAGAAGTCTGAATTGACCCCAAACATAAGCAACGTTACACCACAGGTTAAGACACTGTAAAGAAAAGTAATACATGTTTGTGCATAGCTTATTACTTAAACATGAAATATTTGCTTTATGGTTGTTCCCGTATTTTGTCATCTTCATCAATGTCAGTTTGTGGCAGAAGGATGGGTTACCACTTTCCTACATACATTACTAGATCTACATTTCATGCTTTCAGTAGGGTCAGAAGAGAAAGCTACTCGGTTAAAACATTGATTTTATAATTATATTAATTTTAAACAAACAGCAGTGGGGTCATTTGAATCCCAAACAATGAATTGTAAACAAAGTTTCACCAAAACACAAAGGTTTGTATAATGATGGTTTTCTGCTCAGTCACTTGATATGTTGTACAAACTGGGAAGAATGCTGAAAGCACTTTACTGACCAAGTAGAAGCAGATTTGATACAGTAAGTATTCTGGTCCAGAGGGAATACTATTGGAAACTGGGCCAAGACTTTATTTTTAGCCTCCAGAAATATTCCTTTCCAAAGCAAATAAAGTGTCCATCCATGCAACGCTAAGCCGACTGAAGGTAGAAAAGCCCACAGTTCAAAATCTCTTACTTCATAAGTGTTGCTATGGCAACTTTTTTTGGGGAACAAAGCAGGACAGTTGAATTGTCACATTTAGCAAGTCATTCAGTGCGGCACACCACACACAAGCCCTGAATGTGGTTCCTTTTGTGGGCATCTTCTTGGTGAATCTGCCTACACACGACCACATTTCTCATTTCCTTTAATCCGCAGCCACTTGAAATCCTGTTGGCTCATGATTCAGCCTCTGCTTTACAATGATCCCGACAGGATGAGAGAAGGAGCTTTATATTTAGGACTACTCTGCTTTACACAATCATAATGTTGCCCTTCTTTCTGTTCAGGCATAAATATGAGTTTCTGCACAACGGCTGGAGTCCTGACCTGAGGATTACAGTGAACCCAGTGCGGGTAGGAGTGGCTCTGGACTACGAGAGGGGGACGCTGTCCTTTTTTAATGTGGATCTGGAACAACACCTGCACACCTTCCAATGTCACTTCCAAAATTATGTCCACCCCTGCTTTGGCCTGGATAACCCCGGAGCTCTCACTGTACACAACCGCATCGAGGCTCCCGAGTATTCATTCATCTAACGCCAGCAACCAGATCCACATTTGACCTGGAATAAAACCTACGGCCGGAAGGAAGTGAATTAACTGGTTTTATTACTTACCAACTTCTTCGGTAGTAGCCCCAATTAAGAAAACTAACTCTCTGAACACCCAAACTCCCTCAACAGTACGTGTGGAATCCAAAGACCAGGGACTTTCAGGTGTTTTTATTATAGTATTCCATGGGAACAGGCAGACACCATTTTCCAAGATAAGAAAAACATTTCACTGAATTTTACAATATGTATTTATAATATCAGTAACTGCAGCAGACCAAGTGTTTGAATTCAGACAGGATAGAAGGGAATTGTATTTGTATCAACAAGACGCTTTTGAAAATGAAAAAAAGTTTTAATAAAAATCCCTTTGGAGACATTATTCAATTGTATTCACATCTTAAAAAGGAAGAACCCACCCTGAATACCTCCACACTGTTAAAAGTGAATAGTTAAATATATTTTGTTAACGGAAGATGTTTCTGCATTTAAGACATTAATAAGTGCATGTTATAGAGTCAGAACCTGAAAATAAAAAAGGGCTTCTACCAAGTCCGTAATAACACAAGGGAGAAAAACAGTACCCAAAAAAAAAAAAACGACTTGTTCCTCAAAATGTCCCAATTAGCAGGACGCCACAAGTTGTGCGGCATCTTAAGTCATGTGGCTACACACGCATGCACAATGCCTAGTTGGCAGGCCCTCTATTTTAACAGCTGCTATATAAATGGGCATAGATTTAAATTTTCCCATGGGGAGAAAAATAAATAGAATAGAAAGCAAAAGCTACACCAGAATAAGTAAATAAAAACCTTTCCCCCATAAGAGTCCAGGAAAGCACCAAACATCAGAAACTGGTGATAATTCAAAGACTAGTCCAGTGTTTTTTTGCATCTTCTGCCCGTTGACAACGATGCTGTAATGTTCGTATTGATTGTCAACCTGACAGTGTATGAAGCATGGTCACACGTCTTTAGTCCTAAACATTGATGTCAGTACATCAAGTGGAACCAGACATTTGTGAAAAGGTGTCCCAAAACACCCTTCGGTGATGAGTGAAAAAAAAAAAAAGTCAAACGTGGCTTGGAAAATAGACAGCAATAAGATATTTGTTCTCTGAACTAAATGGGGTTAAAACACGGCAAAACACTGGTTTAGTCCTTAAACAGTGTTTGAAAATATGAGGGTGGATTTTTCCTTTTATGGGGTTTGAGTTGTGTTGCTTTACTGAAAGTAGGCTTTGGGTCTGTGGGTATCCTGGACAGTGGGGATGGATGGGGCAGGGGCTATGAGTGATCAGTCTTACTGCTGCGTGTCCTCTCCTCCTCTTCATCGGAGGAATCTCCTCCGTAGGGCACAAGCCCGGATGCATCTTCGTCCACTTTAGTCTTCTTCTTGCTCACCTCCTCCTGAACAGCTGTAAGGAGCACAATGAAAAAAAAAAAAAGGGAGAAGAGAAGGTGGGAGAGGGGGAGAGAAAGCGAGAGACGACAAAAAGGAAACCCATTGAGGAGCCCCATGTTAGCGGTGGTTTTCGAGTTTGTTCGATCCACAGCCGGGGGGCGGGAGGGAAGATATCAAATGAAACGGCAGCAGAGCACACATCCATAACAGGCAGGTCCATGGACACATGTTGAGAGAGAGAACACAAGGGAAAGACAAAAGACATATACAAGAAGAGCATGTTAGTGGGTTCTACCAGTGGAGAGAGTCATACAGGTGTCCGCTCCTCCTCCATGGGGGGGTGTGGGGGGTGGGGAGATGCCATTTCATGCAACAGACATGTCTGAGCACTCAGGCTCTCTGAATATTGGGAGATAAAGAAATGCATACCCATTGACGCGGCGATGCCAGGCACACCAACCGGATCTTCTGTCACCGCGTGTCTTGGCCTTTTGCGGGCAACGGGGGCAGGAGCCACAAAGAAAGGCGGCGGAGGAGGCATCAGAATCCTGGAGAGAGAGAAACATCAGCATCTACACCACACCATGTTCATGAAGAATAATATACAAGGGAAATAAGATCTATTCACAGACCTTTGTACTACTTTCTCCTCTCCAACACTGGAGGCAGGAAGTGCAGACTCTTGATGAGCAGGACCCTCTGGAGATCTGCTGGGAGGCTGAAACAGAAAAGTACACATTTAAGGCGATTCAAAACTTTATAAGGAAATGGTTTGACCCACAGGAAACAATTGTTTCCCCCGATGTTCAAACCTTTCCAAATGCTGAAGGCTTTATTTTTAAAATAAACATTTTCTCATTCTCTAAAAATGTTAGAAGTCACATAAAAGAGCAGAGGCATCATTCAAACCATTTCTAAACTCCCTCAATTTAATTAAAACCTTTACAGATGCATCTCAAGACAGACAAGAATATGAATTTGACAGAGCCTAAGTGTTGATGGTAGGAATTTCCAAATGGGCAGCATTGTAAACAGTGTTGCAGCTTAAAGCCTCGTCTGTGGTAAAAAAGTGTATAAAGGCCATTTGTGTTAGGGATGGTCGTTTGATGTTCAAACTCAATTAGTCTAAAAAAAAAATAATCAAGAGAGCTAAAGAGAATGTAGGATAAACAAACTGACTTGATACTTTTTATGGAATACAAGTGTGTAATTCTACATTTTTCACGATTTTGCAGTGATAATTGACACTTCTCCTCTGAATGGTGAAGACCGGATAGTTAAACCACCAGCAGTAGCTCAAACTGGTCAGTCATTAAAAAGAAAGAAAAGGCTCTTTCAGTGATGTGAACACGTGTCACGGCGTACCTGTTCTTCCTTAGCCCCCTCCTGGAAATGACGCCTGGGACTTCCCGAGTCAGGGGGGGTGTTTATCGCTCCTTCAGGCTCCACCGTCTCACTGCTGCCAGGGTCCTTAAGTAGAGCAAAACAAACACACACACACACCAATGCAGCAGCAGGAAGCAGCAAGCTAAAACTCCTCAAAGTGTCCCGACAACATAATATGACATAGATGAAGTTTGTGGCGAGCAGATTTAAAACTCTTGATGAAATTAGTAGCTGGTCAATTTATTAGTAGCTGGTCAATTTATTAGCCAACTAAAGCAAATTACCAATACATAATTTAAAATATTTGACCAGCTTTATATAATTGCAGGATAACCACTGCTTCATCTTCTATAAGGGGCGGGAAGTACCAAAAAGCTCAAACTGGTAGAATAGATATCCGCACACTTTCAGAGATACAAGGTTCTTGCTTTATACAACAAAATAAAAAAAACATGTTTTTAGCATTTTACAAGTACAATCAAATCAACAATATAACTAATACATGAACGCTGAAAACAATCATTAGTGGCAGCCTCGATCTTTGGCATTTACCTGGACGAGATAGGGATGCGGTTTCCTAGGACACACCGGATACTGAACCATTGCCTGAGAAGATGGAGGGTTTGTCGACATGTTAGAATGACTTGAGGGACCATTTGCATTACTCCAATAACCACTGGCTCCTGAGTACGCTGAATAGCCGCCAGCATACCCATTATACCAGGACCCCTGGCTAGAGTAATTGCTATTAGGTGGAAATCCATGTGCTGCGTATGCTGAAATGAAAGTATAGAACGTGGAGTTAATAGCATATATTACATGAATCAATAACGGTGCATTGACAACTGTGAGGTACTAGTTCAACCTATTGTTGAGCCTCTAAAGACGTCGTGGGATGATTAATCACCACAAGCAGAATGCAGTCAACGAGTACCTGATATTTGGTCACCCTGTTGGAATTCGTTACAAGCCATAAAAGAACACTTACGTTGTGTTGAGCCGGTGGCTGTGTAGTTTGTCACCATACGGGCGTTTTCATCTCTCACCTGGAGAGCCAGAGAAAACAAAAACTATGTAAGGAGCTAGATAACAATCCACAAAGAGTGTGCTGATAAGCTTTCGACAGCTAACGAGTTGCATTGTGGGTAGGTGCAGAGCACTCAAAACCTATCTCTGGAGATCAGGTGGTTCACGCTACCACTTTCACTTTAGGAGGTGGGTATCGGTGAAAACCATACGCTTCAATAGTTTCACCTTCTTAAACCTCCCATTAGGCCCTCATATAATCCAGTTTAAACTCACACCTGTATTTGTGGCGACGATATCATGAACTTACAGTTTCCAGCAGACTCTCGGTGAGTTTCTTCGCAGACTCCAATCCAGTGGAATTTGGGTGGCTGTAACACACAAGGCACCACGAGTTAAACACTGTGAAACAGACTCAAGACAGAAGTAACACAGCAAATGGAAAGATGTTCAGCATTTATATGGAAGCAGGGCTCCAAGATGGCCGTGTCACAAGTGACACAAAACTTAAACCTTGGGTTGACTTCATTAATTCAGACAAGTAACTTCTTTACACCAAGCAAGTCAAGTGACGTCCGGTTATGATTTACGGAAAATGTTTCAGTAAATCAAAACTCCTTTTTGTGGTTTCCTTTCAAAAACAAACAGGTCTTGTTTCAACCGCAAACTCGTGTAGTGACCCGTGGATCTCCCTCTCTGGTGAACTACTGCCAATAGGAAATTTAAAAAAAAGTGCGCCAACAGTGAGCATTTGGAATGAACATACCTGATGTAGACATAAAGAGGCTCAAAAGACTCTCGTTTGGATGCTTGTTCAATGTAGCCGGAACCTTTTCCCCGGAGAAAGACTCGAGCCCCTGTCTCTGTCTGGATGTGACTCAGGTATGAACCTCCCGGACCCTCGATCTTTTCGTTCACATTGAAGAAGGGGAACGTCTGGTCCAGGCCCACAAAAATCTTTGTGTGCACAAAACTCTGTGGATAGGGGGAAAAATGTGACCCATTATAATGACCTGCATATTTAGGTTGTATATTGACATCTAAAATAAGTTTGACTAGAAGCAGAACAGATGTGTTAGCAGATGCAGAAGTCCGAGGCTTTTCCCTTCAGACCAGGGATGTTCTCTCTGCTGCTTACTTTGGGAGGTGGGTATCAGTGAAGGCAACATGGTCTTCATTTGCCTCACTTTCTTAACCTCCACTGGTAAAATCCTAACTCACAGACAAGCAATATTCAACACAAAAAGACCTGAGCTGTATCATCAAGTGTATTCAACATAACCCAAATTTTACTTCGCATGTAATTATTTCATGTGCCAATGTTGCTCATCCATGGAAAGGTGGAAGTAAATCCCTCCTATGAGGCACATCGCAGAAATATTTGCAAAGGTAACATTTTAGTAATTAATCCCGAGGAACAGAATGTCACCACCACTTGTGGAGGGGTGCACTTTGATAGACGTCATGTCTTTCGTACCCCCGAATGAGGAGCGGCAGGCCGATGTCCTGGCACCGAGTTGGTGTTGGGCATCCGTGGCACGGGTGAGGAGTTGACGAGGCGAGGAGGCTGAGGGTAGAGTGTGAGCGGAGGCATAGCGGGCATCTGCTGTCCTGATGCGGCCGAGGCCCTCAGCAGGTCCTCGGAGATGAGCTCCTTTATCCTCAGCACAGCCTCTGATTAACAGTCAACAATGTTTGGACATCAGCTTACAACATGTGTAAAACAATATTAGATGAAGACAATGCCAGACTACATATTAAGCAGATTTTTTTCTTAAAGTGCAACTTACTGTTGACCTGCTCCTGGTTCTTTCCCTGGACATGTAAATACAAAGATCTTTGTCTAAAAGAAAGCAGATCAGAAATGTCATGGATAACTTCTGAGCTCCTCCAAACATTTGTTTACTCAAGAAATCATTTTATATGGCAACTGATTGATTATATTTGTATTAGATAAACATTGCACTCCTGGTAAATATGTTGAGATGTTCTTGGAGAGCAATAAGCAAGAAATAAGACAGTTTATCACTATAATTGCAAAGAGTTGCATTGTGGGTAGGTGCAGAGCACTCAAAACCTATCTCTGGAGATCAGGTGGTTCACGGTACCACTTTCACTTTAGGAGGTGGGTATCGGTGAAAACCATACGCTTCAATAGATTCACCTTCTTAAACCTCCCATTAGCAAAGATTTAAAAAGGACAGCAATTTTTGTGCAGCTTGCGACTGACTATTAGTCAAAACTATGATAAGATCATCATTTTTTTTCATTGAAACAAATACATACCATATTGTCTAGTCCACCATCAAGTTAGCCCTATATATGAAACATCAGTGTATGGAATACTACTTCTGCAAAATAGATATGACTATGTTTTACATATTGAGGTGAATACAAGTAAAGAATAGAACAATAAACAAGGAGATTAAATCACTGGGATGAGGGCATCCCTAGTTTTTGTACACACCCTGCTTTTCTCTTTGCAGCATCAGGCATGTAATGACCTCTCGTTGAGACGACCGATCCACTAAACTGTCGAATCTGGGGAAAAAAAAAAAAAAAAAGGAGTAAATTTGATTTAAACATAAGAGGGATTATTCATCTGGATATTTAAAGCTGTTTAAGAGCCTTCTTAATCCTTTTCTCACATTCCCCATTTGCTTTTACCCAATGTCGTGTGTCAAATGCAACACCACCATGGTCACGGTCCACTTACCTCCTCCTGTGTTTTGCCTTTAGTAAGAAGGTCCCTGCAATTTAGCGGCACATCGTTTATGTCGACCTCTGTGACCGCCATTTCTTCTGTGGCGGATGCCACGGAAACATTTGGGACAGACTACAAGACATGCGAAATGACAAGGAAACGGTAAGCCCCCACCAATAACGCCATAAAACCAGACAAACGGTTATTTGCAACAGCTGTTTAAATCATGTGCACCTTTGCAAGTAACGGTGGAGGAGTCAACAGCTTTCCTTTTGCCATTAACATGGCATTTATTTTAGCAGCCATGGCCGCGGCCAGTTCAACTCCACCCTGGGGCGCTGGCTTTTCTCCCGTCTGTAGCGGCTGGGAAGCTGTGCTGTTTGAACCAGCAGCGCCGACGACTCCTGATAACGAGTGGGCCGCATTTTCACTACTCCTCTGCTGCCTCACTTCTACACTTTGTTTAGGTTGGGCTGTCTTATCCCATCGGCTGGTTAGGCACCTAAAAAACAAACAACAACATACAAACAATTAAATAAGCTAAACTAAATCACATTTACTAAACCCTTTTTACTACAAGAAAGTCACCAGGTAATGGACTTGCTATTTCAATCTTGAAGATGTGTTGAATCTTAGATGAGTAGCAAAAACCTCTTTAAGATTAAAATGGCAACTTCTGTGCCTTTGCCCAAATACTTTTTAGATGCAATAATTATAGTTTGATGAATCAGTCGTCAGATAGGACACGGGTTAAGTTAACACATTATTTGTCTGCAGTTCGTGAATAAATACTTTTGCTCGTAAAATACCTACACAAAAAGGGATAGCGCTCAACATTAGGACAACATTTCAGACAGCAGTGCTAATAATAAAGGAGTATCTTATCTTAACATATGTGGATCGCGGTTCATTGCAGCCAGTCGCGTAATGTTTTTAAGTTGCGTTAAAAGTTAAGCTAGGTTTAAAGCTTTTTTGACAATAAACCACTTGTGGCTTTGAAGAAGATAACACCGCCGTTTATATGTAGCGCCAAATACACAGTCGTTGTAGTATCTTTAACTGTTTATTGGCAGCTAAGCTAACAACAGCCAAAGTTAGCTGATGCTAAAGCTAACACTGAGCTAGCTAACCTGCTAAAGTAAGTTACGAGCCTGTTGTTGGACAATAGCATTACCATAACAAATCCAGTTAAGACTTAAGGGAATATCGTTTCGAGTATTTTGAATGCTGCACTCTGGTCAGCATCCTCGTGTTACACAAGTGATATCACGCATGCTAGAAGTCATTAGCAGGCCACAACCATGTATGCTAGCTTGTGGATTAACACGATAGATAGCTTTAGCTTGGCTAGCTTACTATTCAGTGTTTTTCTGAGCTCATATTACTCTAGATACCTAATGTATTCATACAAAAACAAACCATGCGGGAAACTTACGGTGTTTGTCCAGTCATTCCCGAAGACATAGCACAAATTGGCTGTCAAATTAAAACAGTTTCTACTAAGTTAACGCTGGACGACGGGAGCCATCGGTCTGCTCCTTCTGGCGCCGGCGACTTCTTCTGACGACTTGTCGCAAAATCTGACTTGGCGGAAGTTAAACTGTTTTCCTGTTATGTAACACAATCTGTTACGATGTCCGATGATTGATTAACATCGTCGGAAAATAAAGTTTGAGATTGGCTCCGGGTTTTCATACAATTGATTTAAAATGTATGACTAAGCGTAGAGAAATCCAACCATTTTGACGAGTGTCATGATCATGGCGGGATTACGCTACTAGTGGGGCCATGAAGAGCATCTGGGCCTCCATTAAAGCTACATACACATTACACATTACAAACTCCCGTCGGCTCCAGCAGATTCGCAGTTCAGAGTTCCCCTTTACTACTTGGTTTGATTTGGTTCATTGGCAATATTCTAATAATACATAATATCAAACTTTGTCATGGATGTCAACAACTTTCAGGATTTTCTTCAAGTCAATCAAATTATCAAGACAGGCTTACACTGTCTGAAATTATGAAATATTAAAAATAGGACCCATGTCCAGGCAATGTACTGTGTCTGGAAATGGAAAATCGAGCATTATAAGTACAACATTACACCACCATACTACAAACTGCAGCGTGACTTGTGTAAAGTTTGCAATCGCTCGTCTCAATATTTAGGCTATGTATTACCTACATCAGAAGTGTTTCATCGCGTTCTGTTTGTCAGGGCTGAATGTAGGGCAATTTTGTTGAATGGAAAGCCAGTCTGAGTTCAGACACATTATGCTCTCCATGGCAATGGTGTAATCAAACAAATTGTTCCAGCACATAGTGTGTCATAAAGTGTGCATAATGAGCAAACTTATTATTCACAAATCGGACTATAAATTTGTGAAAAAGAAGGCAGTCGTTTGTTCAAATGCTTAAAATAACCTACATTTATCTGACTGCTGAAGGGATTATAGCAGCAGTGGGAATTGCCGACTCTTGTTTGCCAGGAACACATTTTGAAGTTGAATGACGTTGTTTTTAGTATTGCAAAACCATGAAAAATAAGTTTGCGGTAGATAGATAGGTCCACAAAGTGATTTAGACATGGGAGACCATTGTTTATTTCCCATTTCCTTTTACCAGCCAACATAGTGTTCTTTTAACCACGACCACAATCATTTCCTTATCTCAATCAAATAGTATTTTTAAACCAAATCACGATCATTCCCTAACTTCAAAGCCAGAATATTTTACTTTTGAAAGAAACCAAACAAACAGTTACAAATGAAAAGTTGAATTCATAGGCAATCAAACACACACTTGATCAGTTCAATACACTAAGCATTCAGTTATGTGGTCTTTAAAAAAACATTTTTTCAATGATAAATAGTGAGTGACCCCAAAGAGATAAATAAGGCTATTTATACTACTTGTTCCTACACCTGTTGAGATCGGGAAGAAGAAAAGCAGATTTGTTCAATGTGCCATCTCAGTAAAAGGAGAGTTTTGTTCTCTATTGTCCATTTTACGGGATGTACAGTAAGTGTCTGAACCAGCCACCATGTAGTTTGAGATATATCTTTTGCCTCTTTTCAAAAAACTCAAACTTGGTCCTTTCTTATTGCTCTAAAAACTGGTAAAACAAGAAACCTAAAGAGGTAGTTAGATAGCTAGACTCAGTGCAAATATCGAATACATTTATAAGGCATATTGTAGGCTAATAAAGAATGAGAGAAAAAATACTAGAGAAAGATGACATAAGTAAGGAGGACACAGGTTGTTGAATCATTGCAGGAAATAAACTGCAAACTTATAATTGACATTATTTTATTTTTCATTGAATAGTTTCTATTTTTTTCCCCCGTGCCTTCAGACCAAGATGTGAATCAGAAGGAACAAACAATCCCCTGATTGAGTGTACAGTTCTTTCATACGAGAGAAACAAAGATAACCGTGGTCAAAACATCTCATTAACCATCATTTGCTTAGCTGTTATGGCATTTATATACTGTTTAAAGAGGAAATATTCTTAATAAGCAACAATCTTTAACATATATTAGTATCCTAATCTGAAACCAGCCTTGAACATAAAGCTGTTCCCTGGGTCTGTGCATAAGGATGTTGGACAAGTGGACAAAATAGAATGGTGTTTGATCAAAAAATCAATGCAAGCTTGCCTCTAGGAGACTGCTTCAAGACAGTGATAGACAACTCTGCGATCCACATCCTTCTTAACCATTTAGTTCTCTGTATACATGCTGAGTGTGACCATCCAATTCACAGGTATTCAGATAGCTATAATGGTTGTTCTTGTTTGCTGCAAATCCAGTGTAAAATTCATTGTCTATAAAAATATTGAGATTTACTTGAACATAACCTTCTGACTATGTCATAATAAAAACTCCAGATGTCCGTTGCAGTTGCACAGTGGGATGTACTGTATAAATATTGTATAAAATAAGGCAGTCTTTTCAGTAGGATAAACCAGATACAAAAATTTCTGGGAGAAAAAATTTTCAAGTCCAAAATGTCTTCACATATTTGTCAAATGTCAAGCGGTTTACAGCATTAAACCAAGAGTAAGGGACTGTTGCAACAATGAATACACCCACGTGCCCACACCTACGACCCAAACACACACACACACACACACACACACACACACACACACACACACACAAACTCCTGATGATCAACAATAACAGCTTATTCTACAATGCAACATCCCATCCCTGGACAAATCACTGAGACGTAGACATTTGTAATATTGTTTACAGTGCAATACAAAAGTGTTCATTCAAACTGGTACTGTACTTTTTATAAGAAAATAAAAATGTTTATTATGGTAATGCTTCATATGACTTCAATAACTGATTCATTTTTAGAGCTATAGTAGTATTTGTCTTCATCAGCTTTGGCTTTTCTCTCTCTTTCTGAAATTCAATTTGTTCTTATTTATTTATCAACTCATTCGTTTGTGAATCTTAATATAGAAAATATGGAACATCTAAGAAAAATTAACAAACCAAATCATCTGTAATTAGTTACCTATGATGATGATGTTGAGGTTTTTTTCTCTCAGCAGTGGCCTAAAGTAAAGACCCACTCCCTGACCCATAAAGAAAGCATCCCCTCCCACATGTCTGTTATGCCAGCGTCGTGTCAACTTGGATGCGTTTCTGAAGGACACATGAAAATATTGCCAAAAAAAGAAGAGAAAAGAAGAGCAGTGGAGTGTTATTCCATGATGTGGCCTCCAGGGGCAGAAGGAGCAGTCCTGCCTTGTTGCGAGCACAGGGATGGACGTCAAAGGTGACTATATGGCCTGACGTGGATTGGACACCTTAATATCCAAGTCACACTTCCACCCACTCCTCCAGTGTTGCTCGCACCTTCCGTAAACAAGCAGTTTTTACTCAAAACAGCAACTTCACAGGCAGAAAGGAGTGCCTATGTGGTAATTAGGGGATGGTTGCTTTGCCTGTAAGGACCTTCTCTCAGTCATGTCACTTGACCAGCTACACTGCGAATGGCCGAGAGGCACGAGAAGTTCATAAGGATGCTGTGTGTCAGCGTCTGTTTGTCACAGTTTTCATCCGACAGGGTTGTAAAGCCAGCAGTGTCACTGCTGCAAACGGCCTCTCAGGAAGTCCCTCTGTGGTTTCTGTGTGGACGGATATGTGGACGTTCAGCGTGCTACAGAAGCAGGAGAGTGAAGGCGAGGAGGCCTTTTGGCTGGCTGGGCTGGCAGGGAGAGAGATGCCCCAGCAGGAGAGAGGAGGGCTGCCCTGGACTGCAGAGTCCCAGGTCTGAACACTGCAGCGGCCTACTCTGGAGGCGGTCGCAGGCTGTGCAGCTTCCTCTCATCCAGGCCTTTCCAGTACTTGAAGTTGTTGTCCAAGTGCTGCATAAGATTGGGGAGGTCTGCGAAAGCTGGAGAGACAACAAAAGAAGTTTAATATCAGATTTGACAGTTTGTTTTTCAAATCATCACCACTGTCTCATTAGTTCATACGAACGACTTATGAATGCACCAATCCGACTTTTTATCCGTTATAACTCAACTCAGGATATACGGTCAGTATCTGTATCGATACTGGTCCGGTATGAAATTGGTGTAGGTTTAAAAGTTGTTTTTTTTGTTTTTTTTTAAAGATAATATTTTAATTCAGTTGCTAATTTGACTGCTGTATTAAACATACTCACTATGAGAACATTTGTCATTACCTTTGAATTTTTCTTAACATTATAACTGTCCATTGTGTGTATTATTTGTACGTTTGTCTATGCTACATGTCTAGACTTGTCAATAAGATTATACGACCAATCACGCAGATTTATAACAGTGTATGCATCTCTAGTGTGTCGCATCTTGCTGTGCAGTCTTACCATCCCATGCATCAAACATGTCTGTAATGAAGTAGTCTATGAAGGAAATCTGGGACTTTGGGATGCTACACGTGTTTCTGTCAAACACAGGCATAACCACCGGTAGACCTTGTCTCTTCTCCTCGTCCGTCTGCACCAGGGACAACAGCACAAGTGATCATCACGCACAATGGATGCATAAATTACAACAAAAAATACAGTGCAGCTGCTGCTTGCTGGATCCATCTCCCCAGCCATGAGCACTGTTATTTTTTTCCTTCTGATTACCTGTGCAAAATACTCCTCTGAGATGCGTCCAGCCCATTCTATACAGAGCTCTTGAGGTCTGCATGGATTGGAGATGTCTGCACACTTAATCAGCATCCGCTTGACGAGGATGCGATTCTCAGGGGATGTCAAAACGCTTTTTACAGATTCCTCATCATTGTTTCCCTACAAAACAAATCAAGACAAAAAACACAGATGCAGACTATTAGCACAGTGACAACTAAAGATCTTGTTATTAGTGGCAATAGACAGCCCCTTATAGCACACACAGCAGCTGCACAACTTTAAAAATAACTGACTGTGTCTGTACATGAACCAAACCGGGAAGTTGAAATATGGCACTGACAGCTGATAAAGGTTTTCTTTATGGAGAGTCTGTATTCAGCGCGTGTTCATTATGGGCTCCCCCAACACTTGCATGTAAAAGAGTAGAGCATGTTTCCTGCAGTCACATGATTTGCAGCCCTCTGTATGTTTCAAGATTTAAGATTTAATTCACTGACAATTATGTTAAGCACAAGTACAGACGGTCCATTTAAGCCAAGATGAGGGAGATCTCCGTTTTATCTGAGTCTCGAGGTTAACTTAATGAAAATGTGTATGTAACACAAAGACCTTTTCTTTTATCAACTAAACTAAAACTCCATCACAATTTACATCAAACACTTACATGTTCTGAAAGTGGCTTTGTTCAGTATAAAAAAAGATTGGCATCAAATCATATATTTGGCTCATTCCTGCCTTTAAAGGGCAAGACAACTTTTAAATGTCTGTGTTGAGCATTCCACACACAGACGAGAAAGATGGTACCAAGTTGCAAAATTCTCTCCCCACAAAGATATCAGTGCCCAGGCAACAACAGGCCACAGGTCCCCTTGAACCAGTATCACCATCTCTCAAGCTCGTGATCTATTGTTGCTTGCATACTGTTGCACTGTGCTGCCACAGAATGAGATTACAATAATTGTGTGTTCATCTAGTGTCTGAATACTCCTGTGTATCCTTCCTGCTCTGACACATTTATCTATAAAAAGAAGATGCCAAAATTAGAACTATTATTTTTTACACAGCTATGAAATATGAAAACATTTAAAAGTGTTGCAGTAAATCTAATCTCACCCCGTTCTCCTCCAGAGCAGCCAGTGGCTTGTTGATGCTGTTGACAAATTTGTTGACGTGTTCGAAATGTTTGGTCATCTCGGTTGCGAGCACCATATCAATGATGGCCTGTCGAAGTGTTCGATATTCATTCCTAGAGAGAATATGAGAGAGAGAGAATATATGAGAGAGAGAGAATATATGAGAGAGAGAGAGAGAGAGAGAGAGAGAAATCAGAGCGGGTGAGATGACAGTGTGGTAAATAGCATGGAAACCCGTGTGAACAGTTTTCCCCTTCTGACTGCAGTGACAGTGGCGATGAATGGATGCTTTGTTCACCTTCCCCCTCCAAGGGGACCAGCACATGTGAGCGATTCTGCTTTGGGACTCAAATCACATTAATACCCCGCCGCTGTCAACATACACTGCACTGCTTTCATCTTCACACATGCAGCTTTCATCTTCACACATGCAGACTTAATTTATCCCCTTATGATACCTCAGGTGACGTCTGTATCACAAACTATTTCTATAAGAATTTCAGGACATACAATATTCATTTTCTCTACCTTATATATTGATATACACAAATGTTCTTTCTACAGTAGCCAAATTTGCAAAATAATTTCATACGCCTAAACACAAAAGTCAGCAAATTCATCTAGTTTGGAATAAGTTAAAGAAATAGTTCAGCCCAAAATAGAAATATAGTAATCATCCTCTCAACCACATGTCAGTAAAAACTGTTAGTTTACATCTTTTGGAGACGCTGAGTTACAGTAAACATTGGTCTTTTGAGCGCACAATGCACTTATTTGATTGACAGTTGGATGACTTGAGGTCTTTGTATTGATGGGTTTATCAGAACTTGCAGCGACATACTTCTACATCCACGTAACTTCAAGAGCTCAGGAGAATGACTACGTTTAGTTTTGCGTTTGGTGATCCTGTGAACAGCCAGGGCATAAGTAGATAATGACAACTCTAATTCTTTGGGGGTGACCTATTCCTTGTGTAGTGAATCCCCAACCTTTCAATGTTCTTGAAGATGTTGCACTTATCATCTCTGGTAGTGATCTGGAAGGCCAGCGCTGCGTGGTGGCTCTCCAGCACAGCAGTGTCATTGTAGAGGATGGCCAGCTCGCTTCCTGCGTTGCACAGGAAGCTGTTGGTGCGTCCCGGGTGGTCCACGTCGTGCACAGTGGCAGCAATCAGGGCAGCCACCTCGTCGATTGGATCCAAACTTTGCTGTTGGGGCAGATTGGACACATTGTTGGGCATTAAAAGGAAAAGTCTGGTATATTACCACCTTGGTTTATAGTTCTGAATGAACAACTATAGGTTAAAAGCTGGCACAGCATAACCTTCTACTACATTGTCACATCCCGCTATCAACACAGCTGTGACGTGCTTCCAGTTTAGCCTGCAGGTTGAACCAGGAAGCAGCTCTACATTGTGAAAAGCAGTTGTGACTTGTAATTAGAATAATAACAGTTAATGTTCACCTTCATTTAAATGCATCTAAATGATCCCGAGCTACCAAACGCATGTAAAAAGTGCACATTTCTATTGTCAATATACTGTATTTACATACAGCATTATGCAGTTACAATGAAGTGCTAGATCAAGCAAATACAGAGAATCATTTAGTTAAATGTGTGTAAAAACTGCAGGTTTTTTTTTAATCAAATTTTGACCCTAATTTTGAAGCTACCCTTCCAAAATATTGACTTCAATATTAACAGAAATAGTTAATAAAATGGATTGGACAGTATAAGTATAGAAAATGTAACACCATCAAAATAATTCCTCATTTCTAAATGAATATGCAACACAACAGACCTACTAACATGTCTGTAGATCCCCAGGGATTCATTAACCTTGGGTGATGTAACTTCACAGTTCACTGGCTAAACCAATGAAAGATCCCTTCACGGAGATCAGAAATAGACAGTTTGGTAATCAGCTTAGCCAGTGCACGGCCTCAACTAGTTACTGAGCCACTGACACACTTGGCCAACACCAAGACTCTCTTGGATAACGCAGGCTCAGACGGGACATCTGACCCTCAAGACTGAGCCGAGAGTTGCGCTTGATAGTAGAAAATCCCAACATCTAGATCCTGTAGTTGTTTGGGCCCACAACCAAAGCAGCGGTAACACACACTAATGCTAAAAAATGTAGACTTCTAGGAACAGCCATGTAGCTTCACATCTCCCCATGAACTACAAGTTCTGACACCTTGTTTTTCTCTTAAATCAAACATATAAAGAACAAGTATATACGGGGCATAAGGTTTTTTGTATGTAGCATTGACTTTGACATAACAGTTGCGAACAGCACTCAATGGGCAGAGTGGGCAAACCAAAAGAACTGTAAAGAAGTTTTGCATTTGCATTTATTTACCAAACACTGACACCTTATTTATATATTTCATTAAATAAATGCCTCCCTGATAAAAGATAATAATGGGTAATAATAAGGTGCTGCAATGAAAGATTTTATTCATTAGCGATTCATTTGTCAATAATTTTCTCAATTAATTAATTAACTGAAAATAGAAACATGGAAATCACAACAACATGGTAACCCAAGGTCAAATCTTTTATGTGCTTGTTTTGTCCACTAATTAACAAACAAACAAATATGTGTATTTAGTATCACATAAGACAAAGACAGGCAATAAAAGCACACATTTCAAAAGCTGGAACCAAGTCTGTTATTTTTGTTGGATAGCTATGGACCAGCAGCAACATTCTGAAAGCAAAACTTGTGATATGTTTTGCAAGTTTGGCATGTATTTTTAAAGTGGTGTTATTAATTCTTAATTCTTACTACATTTACCTTGACCCTCTCCTTGGAGAGAAAGTACGCCGTTGCATGCAGGACATCAGCTGCATGAGAAGAGTTGTGGTAGGAGTTACTGGAGTGGTAGTTAGCTTCAATCAGTTGTAGCCAGGAGCGCAAAGTGGCCTCAGGGCAGTTTAGGAACTCGCAGACGCCAAATCGGGAGAAGATCTTCATGCCCAAGTAAGTCAACGGCCTGCAGGAGGATTCAGCATGGTAGTTTAGCAAAAACTCTCTTCCCAAATCATTTGACACTTTTCCTCTGATAGCCCTTTAACTCTGTTGTTGCCTCACCGCTTCATGGTTGCAGCCTCCAAGTTGACGATGTCAAAATCCCATGAGTCCTCATTCTCCATGGTCTGGGCAATACGAGGGGGGATGTCATTTAAAGTCAGAGGAGTTGTCAGGTGACTGGGGATATGGTGGGCCTCTGTGAGTAAGGGAAGACACAAGAGAGGAGGCATTCAGATTAAGAGAGCTGCTAAAACGTAGCACAGCACTTTGTGTCGTCGTCCCTTTATGCTTTACGTAAACTTACGTTTTGTGGACAAGGTGTATTCATTTCCTGACAATCTGCGTAAACCATCCTGTGAAGAAGAAAGACAGAACATGTCAGGGAGTGAGGTAGCAAGACCTAAAAAAACTGACTGCATCATTCAACCTTTTTGAACAGCCACATAAGGAGTTCAGCTCAAGTGTTAACAGCATTGGCGTCCCGTCTGTCAAAAAACTGCAAGGGCCTTCAAAATAAATTTGGACAGTGAAATTGTTTGGATGCTATGAGACATTTGCTCTGACATCAGATCTGATACAAAAGTTATGTGTGCTAAATTAAGCTGCTAGGAGCACCAACACAGACACAAACATCAGCTTGGACTTTAGAGTAGAGAAAGCTAGTTGAGACCAGTCATGTTACTGGGACTTGCGCATCATCAACCATCACTGATGTTTCATTGACCCACGAAACAAGACGAATGACACCCGGATAAAGCCACAAGTCGGGCAGAATTCCTCTTAGAAAAATAGATTAGAATAGAAATCGTTAAACTTTTGTAACCCCTCAGAGCACGCGGAGTATTTGGACAGATCAAGATTTATATCCAACTAAAATCCATAACTAGGTCCTAAATAGCTCAATGATTTTACCGGCGAAGAGAACAAATATCATCTTGTTAATCATATGTCAATGTGACTGAATGTCTTGTTGCTGCATTTTGACGAAGTTACAGAAGGAAAAGCATTTTGACTAAGTCAAGAGCATAACAGATTACAACAGTATAACAATAAGAGCCAACAAAGACACGGCTCTTCAATATTAACACTTTTATGAGTGCGCTGTCTTCTGTGCCGTGACACAATATTTTGGAAGCTATGTTATGCTGACACCTCATATCGTTCCGCCCCCCCCGCCCCCCCCCACACCCGCTTAGAGAGGGAGTGGAGGGATGAGGCAGCCAAGTTGAGCTTATTAATGAAACCAATATGCAGTTTAGAAAAGCATTACCATATTTATGAATTGTAATAGTTGTGTCAATTCATGTACACGTGTCAGATCATTTACAGTAAACTATTCAATTATGACATTTGTCTTCCTCCGGGCAGTGCTGCATGCTGTGAAAGCTAAATGGAGCTCATCAGTGGGGTAACACTTCATCACCCAAATAATCAAAGACTTCTCAGTGGTTTGAAGTATCATGATCTGGGTCTTCTAGGACTGTGATTTGTGGATAATAAACTACGTGAAAATAGTTTCTAGCCACACTAGCGCCGTGGCTAAAAACAATAACAGTCAGTTGACCAATCAACATTCATTGTTCCCCGAGGATGGATCCGAATGACAATGGAGATCACCTGACTTTTCCTCTAGCGCTACCAAGAGACATTTATGGTTTTGAGGGAAATATCTCAACATGGCATGAAATCTGGTCCAGACATTCATGTTCCTCGCGGAGTGAACTGAAATTTTGTTGAACCCTTAACCCTCTTCCTCTAGTTCCATCGTCAGGTAAAATATACTTTGGTTTATGACCAAATAGCTGCAAAACTAACAACATTGCCATCAGCCTCCGCTGTACTTTGTGTTTAGTGCTAACTGGCACATGTCAACATGCAAACACGCTAAGGTAAGATGGTGAACTGAGGAAAATCTATATACTTGCTAAACATCCGCATGTTAGCTTGTCACTGCAGTGAGCATGTTAACAGTAGCATTCAGCTGACAGAGCTAGCGTTACTGTAGGCTCTTGTTTTTTATGTTAGCAACAACCACTGCAGCAGTTTGCATCCTTTACAGTTTATAAAATGCATCAACATTGTTTAAATATGTCTCTTAAAGAATTACTGTGACAAGAAGCTACAATGAAGTCCTTCTGAACAAAAATATATTGTTATGCGTTGTAAAAACCCTCAGGCTATTGTGCGTCATTAAATTTGAAAATATCATAAACAAACGTAAAAAGTAAAGATGGCAGACATTACGGCCTCCACTTTTCTCAAATAACACTTGTCAGCTATATCTGGGTGATAGGCCTGTATCATGTCATTCTGGGGCAATATAAATATATACATATTTATTAGTGCTGGGCAACGATTAACATATTTAATCGCGATTAATCTCATGGATTTTTTGCGATTAATCGCATTGTTATGGCAAAGTTCAATAATGAATTCAAAAGTAGTGTATTGCGCACTTTTATTTTAAAAGTACTGCTATATGAGCAAAAGGGCAATAACATTTGGTTCACGAGCTGCAGGTAGCATGTTTTATACTTAATGTGAATATAATTCATACTTTGTTGGCATCTTATTCTGAAAACCGGATGTTCGTCTGAAGAAACCGGATGTTGTCTCACGTTAATCTTTCCGCTAACTTTCAAAGTCCTTCGCTCGCTCCCGATCTGGGCCGTTTAAATGCGTTTACCGTGAATTTCAGCATATAGGTGCACTAAAATTACTGACTATAGGATGTTTGCTGGCTTTTATCCCACTGTTATTGTCATCCTCTTGTTGTTATGTATATGTATTGTCTCTTGTCTTTCAATAAAAATAAATAAATACAAAATTATAATAAATTAAAAAAAAATGCGTTAACGCGCGATAAAATAATTGTTGGCGTTAATTAATGAATGCGTTAATGTGAAATTAACTCGTTAACTTGCCCAGCACTAATATTTATATATATTGGGCGTTAGTGAGTACATGGGTGTGTGTCGCAGAGTGAAATGTTTACTTCACAAGTGAAAAATGGAGAGGGGACTGGCTCATCTTTGACCTGAGCATTGTCTCATGTACACACTGGTTATTTTAAGACTTTCTCACCAGAAAGATGACAGCTCTTCCCTTAATGTTCACTGCCTCCTCTGAGTTCAGACCTCACCCTAACAAACACATATGCAACCAGGCACCTCATAAACCAATATGATCGTACATAAGTAACGATCTAAACCTCAACTCACGCCTCGTGGTTTTCTGGTTTCATCAACCTTTATCACTTATGCAGAACAAATCTTTCTGGTGAAGGACTGTGTGTAATGCCTCCCTGCCTCTGTGTATCCAGAGAGCACATGTATAAGTAAAGCCATGCGTATTCATCTGATCCAAAGAACAGGATGTTTCCAGGCCTGTGGAGTCAAGAGGAAGAGGTTCATGTGAGTGTGCAGTGAGAGAGAGAGGGGGGAGGCAGAGGGGGGGGAGAAAGAGAGGGCGGGGTAGGCTTTCCTCTCCAGCCTACAGGAGCACAAAGGACAATCTAACACTTCCTCTGGGGTTGTTGCCAAGACTGCCAACTTGGCACTCTTTCTACTTCTGTACTTCACCATTGCTGTCTGTTAATCTCTCTCTCTCTGTGTCTCTCTCTTCCCCGAATATGTACAGAGATCCTCACAAAAACAAAAGTCCGTGGACACTCCTGAGTCTCAGTTTCTTTCATCTAACACATTATCATGGGCTTTCATGGTGAATGAACACTCATGTAGACATGCGTGTTATCACTGTGGAATTCTGCAAACGCTCTGACGTGTGTTATCATATGGGAGTCGATTCATTCGTAGCGGAAGGAAGCTGTTTGGGTGTTTCGTACTTCTCGAAGGACCCCCGTGCTCTACAAGGCCTTCTGCTTACCGTCATAAGCCCCCCTACGAGGTCATTTGTATGGGGGTCTTCATCCTTGGTGCCCAGCTGTGGGGAGTAGAGCTCAGTTGTCCTCAGGATCTCCAGTACCCGATCCAAGGCCTCTGCCACGGGCATAGGACTGCTTTCCTGCGCTGCATTGATGATGTTGATTACCTGGATGATGAAATAAGTAAGGTTTTATTTTTTTGGTAAAGCACCTTTCTTTTAAAAACCAACTACAAAAAAGCAAAAATAAAACATATAGTATGTAATACAATACATTTACTGGACCAGAGTGAAACAGCAAGTTCTGATAACATAACATCTGAGTAACATCTGAGTAGTAAGGAAAATCTGAGTAAGTTTCAAATAGATATATATGCCCTGACTAAAAAGCAAAACTATTATATTAAATAAAGAGGCAGTTGCATGAGAAAAAAGCTCTTTGTCTCTAACAATAGTAAAATAATAAAATAATATAAAATCTTATTTCTAAAATATTTCTGAAGTGATAAAGAAAAGAAAATCCCAGTAGTGTGAAAGAAAATCAGAACTTGGAGGTTCTAACAATGGGCACCTATGGTGAGGTCTGTAATCATGTGTAAGAACACAAGTTTTAGCTAACTCTCTCTCACACACACACACACACACACACACACACACACACACACACACCCAGCAGTTCTATCAGTGCTTTATTCTGGAGAGGATGACGCCTACAGGGACTGACTACACAGTCAAATGATACAGCAGTTGTGTGTCATATGACCCATCCCCTGGGACTTTCTCTGTTTCCGACTATCCAGGCTGCAGACATACATAAACCACTAAAACAGCAGGCCACCCTGGTCTAACATGAATTCCTGTCTTATGCATGAAATGTGGCCTTTTATCAGCCCATCTGCACTTGACATGGTATGCGTGGCCTCTAGCCTTTGATGCTAGTATCTGTACAAGAAGTGCTCATGGCGTTAGTGGCAGTATTATAACCCAAGAGTTCAGTCATGAGATACAAAAACTTCAGTACAAAATGCTAATCATGTGATGGAGGCAGGGAGGGATAATGGGAACTCACTCACCTTGGTGATGGGAGCTTCTATTGTCATGGAGTGGATTCGGGCCATTGAGGAGTGCCTTCGCTGTGAGCTCCCTGGCAGGATGGAGAAGAAAATAAATAAGACCCATATTGTAATACAACAACAAATTAAGCTGTAGTTTTCGAGTGTGTTTGCATGTGTATCCAATCAACACTTGATGCAAAAAGACAACTGGGAAGGTTTCATAAGCTGACAAGTAACGCCCAGAGTTTCCACGATGTCTCTCCCTTCACTCTCACCATCACTCCCCCGAGACGTTGTGGATCTTACGTCCAGAGAGCCTTTCCTCCGGTCTTTGTGCTTACTGGATTGGATGTCTGGGGAAAATATAACACCTTACATTGACACTCAAACACAAATATGGTGTAAGTTTAGTGACAAATCAAACTTTGGCCCCCATCACAATATCCTTGGCAAGTGGAGGCGATGTCTTAATCAGTCCAAGCAGAATTAATCACTTTGTTTTTGATCAGTCCAACTCAATTTATTCACACGACTGATTCTGTAGTTATTCACAAGTTTAATTTTGAAGTTTTAATCCAGTGAACGTGTAATAATTGGTCAAAGGTAGGAACTAAAGGTGCAAAAGTGAGATTTATGACTTACCCAACAGAGTGAAATGTAATAATTTTTGGTTATTATAAACATTCTCCATTGCAAAGCTACTGGAAATACTCCAGACAATTGGGATTGTCAAGTCAACCTCACAGGTCAAATCCATAGATACAACATAGTAGATAGGTATTATATCTATTTTATTTCTATTGTCAGATCTGTCCTATGTATTTAAGGGAAAAGGCTGGTGTTATTATCCCTGCCAGGAGAATCATGCATGGGTGAGTGAGTTACTATGCACCTCTCTGTCCATGACTAATCTCCCATTCTGCTGCAGCAAACTGAAGAATATTTTGGGTGCCCAGTTATGGCTGCATGCTCAAGGACCTCTTGTGGTTGCAGTGACTCACTCTTTCTCAAAGCACCTTTTACTGCCTGTTTTATACAGCGATTGACTGCCTGCTGACTCCTCACTGACTCCTCTAATCCGGCCCCGGCTGGTAGGGGCCGCTGAACTCCAGCCAATGCACTGCTTCCAGAGACACAGTCGGGTAAAACCAGTTTGCTCACTATTATTGTTTTGGACGGTGTGTTTGGCTAACAGCTTAAAGTTAACGGAACTATCGGTACACACATTGCTGTACCTCTCCGCCACTCAGCCTCTGCTAAGTGGGCAGACAGCTGTCAGTTTAACTTTGTTTTTGTGGGGACGAAGTATAAAGTAAAGAAAGACAGAAGTCGGCAGGAAATGTTTCTTTGTTTCTTCGTTACATTACATTTTTCTTTGGAATTTCTAAATGCACTAAATGTGATAAAACACACTTAAGACTCAAAGAAGTAAATCAAGAAACAAAAGAAATGAAAAACACCTGTCACTTTAAAAGACCAAAGAGAAAAAAAGAACACTTTTAAGCCATTTTTCTAAATGGCAAATGACTATGCTGACTAAAAACTTTGGTAGGGTTGTACCTTAACATTAGAAGCATAGTCAACCTTCTAATGGCCTGTCAGGAGCGTAGCTGCTGCATTTTGAAATAAGTTGCAGCTGTGAATTGGCTTTACGGTTGACACCACAATACAGGGCAGAGTTAAGAGCAGTCTTGCACCTACAGTGGCCATTTTCAGGAGGGATCTTACCTGTTTGAGACTCTGCCTGCACACGTTCAGTGGATTTATCACTCTGCATGGACAGAATAGAGAAGCACATTGATGCATGCCGGCCAGAAAGCTCCTTTCATTCATTTTTAAATTGGCAAAAGTGGAAACACATCTTACCTTATTATTATCATTTAAAGGCCAGTTGATAGACACATAGTGTCTGATTTTTCTGTGAATGAAGAAAAGCTAATTAGTACACCAGAAAAAAACAATGGGATACAATCATAATCATCCAGTATAATTATTCAGTTACTGGAAAGGTAATTTTCATGACGCAAGACTGAATGAGCCAGGCCTCAACATCCTGTCACTCACCCTCCCTGTCCAATTACAGGTGTGATCTTCACATTTTGCTGAATGCTGTCTCCATTCTTCTTTTTGGCATAATAAATCCCCTGCCACTCCTGGAACATAACAGGGCAGAACCGAGAGAGAGGAAATTAAACATACTGACACGAAATGTACAGAACCAATCATTGTAACAACTAAGAACATACGATAAGTATAATCATTTGAAAATGTCCTAAAAGTGGGTGTGGACTGGGTGTAGCATGGCAGTGTTCAAGGTGTAGATTAAGTGTTGAAGTGGGGTAGGTCAAAGTATTTCAGAGAGCAGCAAGGTGCTTTAATGGGTAGGGTGAGCGCTACTGGAGTCCGGCGCGCTTGTTTCATGTCCCCCCCCAACTACAGGCTGCTGTGGCAGCTTGAAAAGACTCGTCCCGCTGTCAGCCTGTCTGAGACTGACCTTCGCTCTCTGTGTAGTAAGATTACAGCACAGCCATCAACCGCTGTTCTTATGCACATGAAACAGAGCTGCTGGATGGCCAGTGGGGCAGACTTACAGCGCACATGGATGCACGCGCACGCATGCAAGCACGGGCACAAAGGCAGGAGCAGATATCTGCAGAGTGATCTCATTGTGAAGCGATACTCTCACATGCATAGTTTTGACTATCAACAATCAAGGGAAGCTGATCATTTATATTTCTGATGAGTTCTTGATTAACTAAACCACACTGAAAATTGCGTTTGTGCTGAAATGTATAGTGTAGTTGAATAAATGAATGCATTTTACCTTTCCTTTCCGTATGCAGGAATTTATTGTTTCAAGGAGATCAGGCTTATTCTTCTCACTTTTAGGCACTTCTATTATTTCCTTCCCTATTAGCTCGCCTCGTTGGTAGCCCATAATGGACTCATAGGCAGGGTTCACATACTGCGAAGGAGAGAACACAACAGTGGTCAGGCTTGATCTGAGATGACGGTTTATAAAATCCACAATGAGTTCGAACACAGTTACGATGATGGCATTCCATTAACCTTGCCGACCAAAACAATTCAGAGAGGCTGACACATTCGTTGCTCATTACATTGGGCTCAGAAGCATTTTTTATGTGAAATTAATAACGCAACGGCAGGCTGCACTGCTTTGATGCTAACAAAAGGAGCCATTCAGACGGACAGAGACCGCTATCACTACTAAGAACTTGGATCACAAGACATGAACAGGCTTTTAAAACAGCAGAGAAGGAGGGAGAGAGAAAGAATGAAAGAGGAGAAGAGTGAGGACACAGTGAAGGTTTCACAATAAAGCAACTAGAAGTATTAGAGTTTATTAGAAACCCACCTGAATTACTTGATCTTCAGAAGTGATCTCGATGGCCTCTTGGCTTTGTTCTAGAGCTGTGAAAATAGCATTTCCAGCCCTTGTGGTGAAGAGACAACAGTAGAAGAATTGTTGTTAACATATGCAACAAGCAGAAGCAGAGTGCTTCTATTTATATACTTTTATACTTTGTAAAGAAAGAGTTTAAATTGGCATGATCAAGTTAAATTGTTAAAAGCAGATACTCTTTGTGAGGCTTTGCTCCAAGTGCAGCTTTGAATAAAGTTAGTACTGTATGCAACTGATCTAAAATGTCAGAACAACACTGACACGACTCACCTGAGTTTGAACTGCGCCCGCACTTCTCCATGCTCCAACTGTAGCAGCTCATTATAGCAGGCCATCATATTGGCATTCTCCACATATCTCTGAGGGTCAGAGGGCAACACGAATCAATCAAAGACAGATGAAATGAAACCATATTCATGTCAATGTATCCATTACAGGATTCGTTTTAGTGCTGCTGATGCCATGGGTAACAATGATTCAGTTACAGGGAACTCAATGCACACGTCTCCTGAGCAAACAGAGAGGATTTACAATCTGTATTCCTGCCATACAGTGAGTGTTGACAGTAGGGATATTTAAAAAAAGAATAATACAAACACAGGCAGCAGAAGGCTTACACACACACACACACATACACACATACACACACACACACACACACACACACACACACAAAGTGTCGCTCACCCTATTAAAGCCGGCATTGATCAGGGGCATCACAGAGGCTTCCTCTCTGTCTGGCCTTAAAAAGAGAACACAAGTTATCACCCAGGCATCGCTATGACGAACGCTTCATACGGCCTAAAACACATCAGCTGAGTGAGATTACTTCATTCTGATAATACTCCTAATCATCAGGTACTTATAAACACTGAGAGGGAGAACGACAAGAAAGAAAGGGCCGAAAGGGAGGGAGGGGGGGGGGTCAGCGAGTTGTACGTACCTTTTCACAACGGCGACTATCACAGTGTTTTCTGAAGAGTTGACCGCTCTAATTGACCTGGATGTAAACAGAGGGAGCCTTTTAGACAGTGAGCAGGCTGTTGGAAAAGCCCATGGCATCAAATCAATGTATATTTCAGTTTTTCACGCTCCGATTCTCCCCGGCAGGCAGAGCCCAGTGGTGGAGCTCTGCGAGCAGGCCTAGGCCCTCTGAAAGTATGCAGTGTACAGGGCCACTCATCCGCCTGTGGTTTCCCACAGCCAGCGGTCATAAAGGCCCTTTAGTTCCCCATCGGAGCCTGTGCGTGTACACTGAACATATGGATTGGCCAAAATGAATGGGGTTAACATACACGCTGGGCAGGGCAAATGAATGTTTGCAAATGTGTTTCTGGTTTGGGCAGAGGCTAAAGATAGAGGGTGGTATGGGCAGGCACCGCTCATTTCTCATTGACATGATGGTAGCATGCAATGGAAGCTAGTGAGCCCAAAGTGAGCTGGCCATTTACCCCTGGCAGAGTCCACACGTGTTACCGAGTGCACTGTAACACATGAGTCCGTCCGATCAAGATCGTCTGGTCTGGATTATGTCATTGGCCTTGGATGACAGTCACTAACAGAAGTTAATCCAACTGTGTCCACTGTGATTCTCTGCCAGGGGCACGAAGAACGACTGTGAAGAAGCTCAACTAATTTAAAAAATACATTTTTTGTTTCTTTTAATCCACATATTGAGTCAGCTGTTACACCTGGTGGGATGACGGGATTGAGAGTGAAAGCTACTGTAGTTACAAAGCGAGCAGACAAGCCTAAATAGGAACAATGGTTGAAATAGTTTGCTAAAAGTTGGCTAAATGGTTGAAATCATGAGCTAAATGGATAAAACCGTGAGCTGAAAGTAGTGAATAAATGGTTGAAACCTCTCCAGTGGCAATATGAATGCTTGACTATACATTACTGGCAGTTTAATAGTATGAAAGCATTGCTTAACAACATCCACTTGTATATAAATCAATAGTCTTAAGTAGCACCCATCTTAACTCTGTTGAAATGTCCACTTTAGAACATGATGTGTGTAACTAGGTTAAACAGAGTTCATCTGACAGGGCTGTGGGGGGAACGCCAGATTAAAAAAACTAGCTGGGAACTGCTGCATAGCATCATTGTAGAAATACAACATAAAGTAGTTACATATACTTGGATGAAGAGTACGGGTGTGGCCTACCGGCATAGTGCTTCCGCATCAAAGTGTCTGGAATGTCTGTGGTCAATGATGACGAGGTCATGATGCTTCTCCAAGAAGCATTCAAGAGCCGACTCGGGTGTTCGTGCCATGCTGCACCTGAAGTTGGCCTTCTCACATGCCCAGCAGAAGCCATTACTCTGACTGTCCTCTTTGGCAAAAACTAAAAGTACCTGCAAAAAGACAGATGACTCAGCACATATATCCAACTGAGGAATCTGTATTTTTAAGTGACCTCTTGCAATGTCCTCCTACTACCACCAAAAGCATATAACTTACATAATACAGTTAAAGGGTGCTTTGTAAAGAGAGTACATATTCAAAGAGATTAATGTGTAATTGAAAAGTGGATAAAAACACTGACGGAAAAAAAGTGCTTTAAAAGATGCAGTGAATTTGCTAGCATTACAAAGTGGTCCAGAGACTGTCCTAATGGCAGGAGACTTAAAAAGTCAGCAAAGACTGAGGGGTCTCAGCATGTCTTGAAAACTTAGATGAAGTTTGTTTGATAAAGAACTTAAGCAATTAGATGATTAAAAATATATATTGTCAATTGTTAGTGTCCACATCTAACTTATACCTGATGTAGAAATGCTATATTTACAGCACATAGTCTCTTTGTTTGTTTTTTATTACACAGAAGCTACAGAATTTAAAATGAGATGGAAATATGGGCTACAGGGCTAATTAATACGTAGCCAATATCTGATACGAACAACCGACGTAACTAATCCCAGAAGAACAGCCTCCACCCTGCGGTACAGAATCAGTTGAGTAAGAAACAAGAGACAAGAGAATGTGGTTTTGATGCCTCAGTGTATCAAGAGCTCTGAAGTCATCCTTGGTGCATTCATGCTCATTTGCGCCTGTCGTCCTAATCAGCCTCCGGCGTGGGCTTGACTGTGACCTCAGGCCTGCAGCGGACAGGCCCTGATTGATCAGGCTCGGCTCGTACTCTGGTGCGTCACAGATTTTATTGTCCGCTGCCGTGATCTATGACACAATTAGCCGAGGTGGCCTTGACTGGCTGCGGCCCCTCCCACCGGTCTGCTAAGGCTGTGGCAGAAAGTGCTGCCGTCAAAACCAGCCATTGAGAGCGCGAGCTCTCTCTCTGGCAGCATACTTTCATATAACCCCTTACTTGCATAAATACTGGACCAGGGATTTAGGCCCGCCTCCAAGAGCAGTGCTGCACTAAGAGTAGATTCATGAGTCACTCTCTCAAACAGACGTCATCTCCAACTGTTGGCAGGGAGCAGGACGAACGTAAAGAAGGGAAAGTTTGTTCTGCAGACTTGAGTTTGCGTCCCACCTGTAAAATTGAGTTAGGACACAAAGCCTTGACTTTGTTGGTAAAAAAAACTGGAGCCCCTGTCCTCAACACAATTGAGGGGATAGAGGATTGGTTGTTTGGACAGTTGTCCTTTTGATCCGATCCGATGATCGGTGTGGCTTTATTTCCGTATGCAGCTTCAGGCCTGAAGCACAGAGCCCTTACGCCTGTGCGGGGTGTTGCTAATGCAAACCATATTCCGCATATGAACATTTTCCCAACGAGCGGCAATAAGTGTCCGGGTCATAAATACATCGCCACTGAGTCCTGCAGCTATGTTCGGTACGCACAGGGAATTAGATCAGAATTCCACATTGGGATGTTGGTAGAAAAGTCAACATTCCCGCAGAGGTGGAGGAAAGGAGTTATATATGCTGAGATAAGGTCTCTTCAGGTCCCTGTGCTCAGACCAGACAGAGGCCTCGCTCAGAAATAACACACCAACAATCTTAAAGTACATTCAAGCACAAATGCTTGTTTTGTTTTTTTAGGTGAGGACATGCTGTTTATGGGCCAAAGAAACAGATGAAAAAGGAAAGTAAAAGAAAGTAAAAGAAAGTAGCAGAGAGATAAAGACATAAAGAGGGAAAAAAAAACAAGTTGCTCGAAAGGGGGTTGCGAGCATTTTGGCAGGGTCTGATCGCTCTGTCTCGAGAACATCATTGTTGAAAACAATGAGGGCCCGTGCCAGATCCTGTGATCCGCGAGAAAAGAGGAGTGGAGAGGAGGAGGGCATGACAGGATCAGCTGTGAGTGACAAAAACAGGAAGGGGATATCTCTCTACCTCGCTTTCCTACCGTTGTCACACTGGAGCGCATCAGACAATAAAGCGGAGTCTGTGGCATTCAATTACAGGACGTCTAATGTATTGCTTTTATTTTGACTCTCACCGACTTCATATCATCATTGTTACACTAAGGTTAGAGTTTTGTTTTTTTAAATAGTTATTTGCATTTTAAATGAAGGATCTATGCACTAGGACTGCAACTAACAAGTGTTTCAATAAATGATGTGATTTTGTCTGTGAAATGTAAAAAGTAATTGTGATAAAATGCCCATCAGAATTTCTCAAAGCCCACAGTCACGTCTTGCTTTGTTTCATAAACAGTCCAAAACCCAAAGTGTTCAATTAACTACAATATCGGACAAAGAAGAGCAGCAAATCTTCACATTTGGACAGCTGGGGCCAAAAAAGGTTTGGCATTGTAGCTTGAAAAATGTTCTGAAACAATTAATCAATTATCAAAATAGCTGACGAAACCAAAAGTAAATTTTGTACGTTCTTAAAATACATTTTATTCTTCCTAAAAAGCGTACTTTCCGAAGACTCCAACTCTTCACTCAACAAGCAGCAACGCATGCCAAAGGAACAAGAACAGAACCAAACTGTATAATGAACCATTGAACGTCAGAGAATGTCCTCTTTGCAGTGATGAAACATGGTCCACGGATCCTCTGTGCCGTTCCTCCATAACGTGCATTGTTCATTATGGTATGTTCTTGGCCATAAATGTTTGGCCTTGTTGCCTCGACAACCCAAGGCTGCATCGCACACAATACGTCCATTAACAGTTTTTTCTTCTTCTTCCTCTTCTTTGAATGTTTGCACGGGTACTTTTCCTTCCCTGTAATCTCTTAGCGAGGTGTGGTATCTTTGAGAAATTCAAGATTAGTTCGAACTGCAAACACAAGTAGGT